TGTGTGTGTGTGTGTGTGTGTGTGTGTGTGTGTGTGTGTGTGTTCAGTGATGTTGGGCGTTGCTGGGACAGTCTAATGTCTGGAAACAGACTGAAGCGAGCTGAGCATCGATGGAGGATTATCACATATTACCCGAGGAATATACTTTAACCACCATTTGATGCATGGAGACATTCATTTCCATGATGTGAATTATGGGATGCATTACAGTCAGTGCAAAGTAAATCTGGGAGGAAAGTGCTGTCAGAATCAGGGCAGGGGGGTGTAAATCAAGATTTTTATTTTATTAATGATCCCTGGTTGATACCTTATCATTGTCACCCACTGTAGCTTGATCGTCATATTTCACCCCATCATCACTGTTTGCTGCCTCCTGTTGTTAGTGTGAAGTTTTCTATGAGAGAAATTTCAGATGTATTGTCCTTCTTTACAGATGAAGCATTACCTTACCATGAAGTTCTGGTGGGAGTGCTGTCAGCGAGACACCATTATGAACTGCGACAAGCGATAAGGGAGACGTGGCTGGGCTACATCCGCCATCACCCCCACCTCCAGCACAGGTCTGTAGGCTGGATCTCCAACTTCACTTCTGTTTCCCTTTCTCTTCTTTCCTTTGCTGCTCCCAGGTCAGATTCACACAGGGGGAATAAACCCTGCAGCCGCTAACAAATAAGCGACCGCCCCATCAATCCTTTGTTGCTTTACCTGACTAGTGGCAAACTCGTCCTCTCTGTCATTCTTTCCTTTGGTCCGTTTCCTTTTCATTCAGTGATCTAAGCACAGATAAGGTGCGATGGCCTTTAAGCAATCCCCCTGTAACCATGGCAACGGAGGGTGGATAGATGGACAAGCTTTTGAAATCTTGTTGCCTAATATCGCGCAAACAAAAAAAAGATGACTGCAACAACGTGGTGGCTTTTGTGCTTTTGTTTTTCAGAGTGGGGGTGAAATTTATTGTGGGCAAACATGGGTGTCCCATTCCAGAGGAGGACAGAGAGGATCCCTACTCCTGCTCCATCCTGAACTTCACCGAGCCAGGTACCCAAAAAATAAATTCTGCCTTCATTGGTGGAGATCATGCAGCTATAATACAGAGAGATATTCTATGTGCAGTCTGTTGCTTGCATGTGCAATTGTCAATCGTGGAGCTAAGGCAGAAAAGCCTTGGAGATGAGCTGAAAGTATTAAAAGAATGCTTCTTTAGAAAATAAGTAAAACACCTTTTGTTCACGTTCTCCCAGAGCTCAAGGACAACCTTCTTTTCTCACCCAAGGCCGAAGCACAAATGTCGACAGTCGACACAGCTGACTTGAACAGCAAACTAATGCTTGGAAAGTGAAGCTATATGACGCACTGAAACACAGTATATGAAATAATTGAACCGACTCTGTCAGATTGGATGTCTGCAGTGAATTGTCGTGTCTCTCACCTTCTCAGAGCGGGTCCAAGTCAGACATTTCACTACTTTTTTCCCTTAGCCGCTTTTCACTGTCTGCTGCTTTCACGTATAAAAGAACAAAACTGCTGCTATTCAGAATAGACGACGGCCTATAGGTTCATGGTGATGTTTTATTTTTTCCAGTCCGTTCTTCTGCTCTCTGGCGTGTTAATGGTTTTAAGTGTTGATGTGATTTGCTTCAGAATGGGAGGCAGAGGGGCAGGAGATTTGGTGTGAGATGCTCAGTGTGATTGGAAGAGTAAGAGACAGTTGCTGCTTTTAAACACAGTTGGGTATCTGACTCAGGATTCAGGTGGAAGCTCACGTCAGAGCAGACAAATGATTGTTGCTGAAATATCTTTGTTTCCACTGCCTTCATCAGAAAGATCCCTTTTGTGGGATCGAGGTTTACAATACAAATTGAAGCCAAAGACTCTCTATAGCCCCCTGGTGGCTGGCTGCAGTATAGGTGCAGTATATGGATTGGACTTGAGCCAAAGTAGTCCAATATTTTCTTTTGGAAAGATGATTTCTGTCATTTTAGGTAGTTCTTATAAAACTGATGCATGTCCAAATGTTCTCTTTTCCTGTAAGTTTGGGTTTAAAGAAGTAATATGTAAAATGAAATGAAACTAGACCTGTTTTATGCATTTGTTTACTTGTGTACTTACATTATCCAAAATGTTTGAAACAATGTTCAACCCCAGAGAAGTCCCCAGTTTTATTAAAGGTCATCTTGGTCAATTTTGATTTGCATAACGTAATATCTGCTTTTGCCTCTCCTATAACAAACACCGCATAATGATGGACAACAACACTCTTTGCCAGTCTGCGTTGTTTTTCCTTCCACTGTTTGTGTTGTTCACTCGTAATGGATCACAATTACTCATCACCGTTGCTGTGAAACATGACTAAAAGTTAAATGAACATGATTTGTGCCTGAGTCCTGTCAGGTAGATTTTCATCTGCAGTGGCGGTGAAGAACGACTCCCATGATCAAACAAGGTCTCTTGTTGTGATTGAGAAACACAGAGTGGCCAAAGTTACATGTTGTAGCTTTTATGAGTTATTTGATGGGGAAACATCATGATTGACAGCTGAGACTGAGGGTGGGACTTTGCTACTGAGGCTATTATATATAGATTTATGTAGATATAGGGATATTTTGACTTCATTTCTGGATAGTTTGAGCCAGTGAATACGTGTTGTCCATCTTTATAAACAGTCTAACTAACAATTTCCTTTTTTGTAGCAAAAAATATGAAGAATCCACTGGTTCTACCATCTCATTGTCATATTTGCAGTTTTTTCTACCCCTCTTGTAATACATTTTATTTATGTGGTTAATGGACTGTAGCAAAAGAAGCTATTTGAAGACTTCATCTTGGGATCTACGGAATTAAATTTTTCTGATGTTTTATTGACCAACAAAATAATGGGATGATATGAAATGTAATTGATGTAGGATACTAAACAGCATAATTTTTTATGATTTATTGATTTTTCTTTTGAATTATTTATTTGGCAAGTTTGCACAAATAAAGCATTTGTATAAAGTCAGCACCAGAATATTAAATATATCTTCACACACTTGTAAAATCCTGCAGCTGCATTTCACTCTGTCAGTGTGAGAAACATTTGCTTTGATGAACGGCCGCTCCTTATTTGACTGTGATTGGTTGCCTCTAACTGTCTTTTATTTTGGAGCAGGCAGCAGAAGTTGTGTCGAACATATATAAAGTAAAAGCCTGCTTCCCTTTAACAGCTTTGATCCCTTCATTGATCTCCTGGGTAATAAACTGCTCTTTTGTAATTAAGAAACCACACTCACGAGCAGATGCTCACTTTAAAGACAACTATCCCAAGAAGCAGCTCCTCAAAGTGCTGATGGTGTTGCTTTACCTTCTTCTCTGAACATGCTCCCCCTCCGCGGTCCTCATCACTGAAAAGAGACGGTCAGCATGTTAGTTTCGTTATAAATTCCACCTGTGCTCGTGCAGTGACTGTCTGCCCTCCCTCCCTTTCCAGTCACAGGGCAGGATGCTGAGATCGAGATTGTGACAGTGGCTGACCCCTCGGTGCTGGCCCCGTCCGACGTGTCTGCCATCGCCCTGGATTTCAAGGTCCTGCACCCGGTGGTGATCACCAGGCTGGGGGTGTTTCCCAGAGGGACCCAGCCTGAGCTTCAGGGCAACGTAACGGTGAAGCTTCTCCAGCTGGACCAGGAGGTAACAGGGCCTGGACCTTAAAGCATAATGTATCTGCTATGCTGTTTGTTTGTGGAGCCTGTTAGATACACAGCCTGAGGGTAGCTGCTGCTCTGTTTACTGTTCTGCCACTGAAATTATACTCTGTAGTGTGGTATTCAGACAAATTTACACTGAGGCAAGAAATAACCAAATATTGTTAGTGAATTCTTTATGTACAATGACTTTTTGCAGGAGGCTGTGGTTACTGCTCGCTTCAGTGCCATCAGCACAGGGACCATGGTGAACGGAGTTTGGTACAAACCAGTGGAGCAGTTCATTTTGCCTAAGGTCAGTTTCACATACACTTACAACCTTGTCATGACTGTAGAGCCGCTGGGTCTCATTCACCAATGTCTTCTTAAGAATTGTATTTAATTTGTTCTTAAAGGGATAGTTTACCCAAAAATAAAAATTCACTCATTATCTACTCACAACTATGCCGATGGAGCGGTGTCTACGAAACACTTTTGGAGTGTCAGGGGTAAACAGCGTTGCAGTTCTCATGAGAAAACTGCAGTAACTATAACAGCGGACATTTAGACCAAACATTTTTTGTAATTGAAGCAGTTTTGAGTCTGTGCATCTGTGCTCTGATATTGATGAATGCCATGTCTTTGTTAAGTTGAAAGTGTGAGCCTCTTTTTCCTAATTGGCATAGGTAAACGCCCCACCAATGCCCATTAATGGGCATGGGACTTCAGTGCCGTGTGCACACCAAACAGTCTATGTTCTAAATCACAGAAACTTAAAAGGTTATTTAAAAGCTGCCAGGAATGATTGAGCAAAAATCTAAAGACCACACCTGCTCAAACTGTAAAAATCTCTTATTTTGTAGTGTCAGCAGTGGACGTAAAATACCACAAAAAATTATACATGGGATACTGTTACATGTTCAGTGAAAGCAAGAGCTTCATATTTGAATAAAAAAAAAATGAAGTCAAAACAAATATTGTCAAACACAGCAGAGAGGGGGGGAAGACATTTCTTCTTAAGAACGGTTGGTGAATGAGGCCCACTGAGAACATTAGTGGAAGTCTCTTAACCAACATCCTCCAAATACACGACAGTCTTGTGTTTTTTTTTATAGTTAGCTATTAAAATCTTATTTTCTGCAGGTTGTGTTCAATGCAGCAATTTTTCCATCGAAAAGTTATTGTACATATTACTGTGTATAGTTTTTTTATTCCTTGGAAATTATTAGAAACAAATGTTAGTTTTGTAACTGGAAACAAAACAACACCATGCTACACATGAAACAAATAAAATGACTGTTCTTCGCTCAGGGTTTTGAAGGGACGCTGGTTTGGGAGTGTCTGGACTCTTCTGGATTGACAACGGTCAAATCCTCCCTGCAGCTCAATGATGGAGGAGGCGTCCTCAAGATCTCCTCCGTACGTGTCCATGTGTCAAAAATAAATGTAATATGAAAATTTTATTTCAATTTTTGAAGTAAATTTTTATTTATTTATTTTCTCTGCATTGCAGATCGCCGAAGGCATATTGCCTCATAGAAGTGCTCTTGGGTTTCCTGGTTTGGCGGGAGGGTTCACATTTACTATCTACGGTTTGTTCAGCAACACAATTCATTCTGAACTTTTATATGAAAACAGTTTGATCAAAATCACTCTGAGCCGACAGTTGTAAAGGAGTCCCTCTTTAAAAATTCCTAAAAACATCGTTCACTCTGGCAGGTTATGAGATTAGCTCCTTTTCGCCTCAGGGCTCTTGCATAGGAACGTGTCAAATAGGAAATAACATGTTTTTTCCCCCTCCCTGTTGTGTTATTGATTTTACCTCCCGCTCATGTTTGTATTTGAGTTTATACGAGAATGGATTTGTAGCCATTTTGGTGAAAAGAAGATTAAATTCCCCCCGTTCAATATCTCTGTAAACAGAACTAATGATCCGTTCTGTAAACTGTTATAATTATATCACATTGTTTTGCCAGCCAGTGATTTATTATCCCTCAACAGCCTGTCATTACCCCCCTCATGTTCTTCTTTGCACCCACCACCACCACCACCTGTGTGTCAGATGGAGACGGTCTGTCGGGGCTCCTGCGGGGTCGCCCAGCCAGGATCGAGCACCACGCCTCCAGGCTGAGACAGGAGGACGCCACCTTGCAGCGGGAGAGCCTGAGGCACGGCGACATGGTTTTCGTGGACGTAGTTGACACCTACAGGAACGTGCCTTCCAAACTGCTTCAGTTCTATAAATGGTATGCCAAGTGCTAATGACTTAGTTCTCTGTCTCCAAATTGCCCGGGCCCTCTGAGGAAATCAGCAACGTGAAATGAAAGTGTGTCGTCGCCTCGAAACATCCCGTTGTTAGAATCACAATTGCAGTCACTCAGTCAGGGTGAAAGTAGTTGTGAGTCATCATGTAGCAACACACTCAGAGCGGTCTTAATCTTTGATTCGGCAAGTATTTTATTTAGTTGCAGGACCTGTTGCCCTTCACTCTCAGTGGTATTTGAAAATAAATCCACTCTGGGATATTGCAAAGAAAATATCAGAGGTGAGCTTTAATTAAGGTTGCAAATTTCCTCTGTCAGGTCTGTAGGAAACGCTGACTTTAATCTGCTGCTGAAGACGGATGATGATTGTTTCATCGACGTCGACTCAGTGTTAATGAAGATTGACCACAAGGGTCTCAAACGCAGCAATTTCTGGTGGGGAAAGTAAGTACTGTTTGGTGTCCGATCCTGTGTTTTGATTGTTTTGATTTTGCTTGTGATTTTAGTCCACTTGTGTTTGCAACTTAACTGTGTTTGCATGGGCACAACGATGAAGTGTGATGTGAAAAGGAGATATATAGGAGGGTTATGATGATAATGTATCTACCGTCCTGACCTAGTTTCAGGCAGAGCTGGGCAGTGGATCGTATTGGGAAGTGGCAGGAGCTGGAGTACGCTAGTCCGGCCTACCCGGCTTTTGCCTGCGGCTCAGGCTATGTGGTCTCTCGTGACCTGGTCCAGTGGCTTGCCAGTAACGCACAGAAGCTCAAGGCCTACCAGGTGGAGTATCAAGCACCAAGCTCAACTGGGGAAATAATGGGCAGACAGTGATGAATATAATGTAAGGATTGTGTCCTGGATGTCTCGTTACAGGGAGAAGACGTGAGCATGGGGATATGGATGGCAGCCGTTGGACCACAGAAATATCAGGTGAAAGAAGAATGATTATTATTATCTGTCTGCTCCGATGAAGCATCATGAGCTGGTTTATTGATAACCTTGTATTTATAAAAGATAACTTATCAGTTTCTCAGGGATCCACAGTAAAGTCCAGATCAATAAGACAGTGTGTGCTTCACTTGATCATACACACCAAAAATGTGAAATGATAAATAAGTGTTTCCAGGCTTCCTTTTGCCAATCATGGAAACAACCTGGAAATTGATCAAAATTACCAAATATTTTGGAAAGAATTGTCCTGGATTTTTGTTTGATTGTAGCCCTTAGCAAAGACTGCCTACATAAACTTCATTGAATATTTTGATTTAAATTTAACTCACTGTTGGTTAGAGGCTGTGCTACTGTCATTTTTATGTGTTGAACATGTGATATATTGTTTGCTTATGTACAGTTACTTTACCTGTAATAAAGACAATTAATCATGAACCCTGCATCAATATAAAAGGAGGAATATAAATGGGGTTAAATGCATTAAAGCAAGCCTTTAATTATGAGATAATTTATGACTAATTTGCTGTCTTGAATTGTCAAAGAATGGAAAATGTCCTGAAACACAGCTGGAAAAGGATTTCTTATAAAGACTGGGAACCCTGTAAATGTCTTTTTCCTCTCACTGTGAAATCTTTCTGTTGACTGAAAAGTGAAGAAGAAGAAAGTGACACAAGAGGGACTGGAAAGTGAGATTACTGTCATTTTCCTCTTAGCATTTCACTCTTTCACTTTTTTACAATTTGGTCCAAACTGTAGGTTCTGTAAGTTCTGTACCCTTCTAGCACAGCATCGCCATATCACATATGACTGCTCATCATGTATGAACACGTGTCAACTAAAACCCCCACAGTCTGAAGTTTACGAGCAGAGTCTGTGAAAACACAGTAACTGTTCATCAGAATAGTTGTTTATTTAACCTGAGTGAGACCTGAACCAGCGTATGCCTAATAACCAGATCAGTGCGTCCTTGTTAACACAGTCACCCCTCTTGTGCCGTTTTCAGGACCCCAGCTGGCTGTGTGAGAAGGAGTGCTACCTGGACATGCTGTCGTCCCCCCAACACACAGCCGAGGAGCTGCACATCCTCTGGGACAGGAAGAGGGCTTGCGGAGACCCCTGTGGTTGTCCCTGGGGCCACTAAATCTGCTTACACCACACGCACCATGTGGCACTGTGGGTAAAAATGCACTCAACACTTGGTTGTCAGTTCATTTATTGTGGTTTCCTTCAAACCCGACTGAAATTTTTCAGAGTTTTATCAATATTGTCACATAATTGAAACTAGATGTATATATTTTTTCAAATATGTGATTTTCTGTTGGAAAATGATCTTAAAAACTTTCAATTGCAGGTTCTTAGAGGGGAAATCTGGTATTTTTCAATCTGGGCCACATGTTTATAAATGTGGGTGTAAATTAATGGTACTTAAACTTTTGGAACTAGTCCAGTGGATCACGGCGGCAGTGGCCACAATGTAATCATATGGGGCAACTGCGAAAGTCCCTGAATTGCCCACTTTCGCTCAACTCGAAGTCTCACTCTCAGCCGAGCAGCAGCTTGTTTTCCCTCCTCTGCCTGTTGCCTCTCTCTCCTCGTCCAACCTACAATTTGCGGGAAGTCTTCGTTTGCATACTTTGGCTCAAACAAGTAGGGACGACCATCAAAGTCAACTGCTTCAGAAAAAGCAGAAAAAGATTCAGCCATAATAATTCTCTCAGTAAAATCCAAACTCCAACTCTCACTCAAGTTTCTGCTTGTATCTCACTGAAACAGCCCAAGTCTCACCAGACTTGAGAGTAAGACTTCTGGTCGAGCTAGATGTGTGTTATGTTGCCAGACTCTTTGAAAAGACCCAGAATAAAAACTTTAGCCCATAATTGGTGAAATAATTTATTTTAAGTGGACATTTCATGGACTGTTGAAGTAGCCTAATAACATTACATTGTAGCCACTGCCTTCATGTCCTGGCTGCTGATGTTCCACTAGACCAATTCCTAAAGTTTCAAGTACAGTGGACAAGCTTTTGGTGATCACGATCCAGTCTGCAGTGTGCAGCACGAAAGATAGAGACACAGGGAGGAGCAGTAAATTACTGACAGAGCAGAAGAAAAAAAAAAAAAAAAAAAAAAAAAGCGTTCCAAGCGTGTATGAAAAGACGCAAAATGAACACTGTAAGGGGATTAATAGATCAGTATCACCAAATTATTTACACAGCACCAGTGTACCATTCATTCACACACCCACATTTATAAATGTAGGACCCAGGTTGAAAAATACCTCAAATATTAACAAAATAGCAACGTAATCAACCATTGGCAGCTTCAGAATGCATTAAAACACATTTAGCTGTAGCATACTGCCGATATTTGTATCATGAAATCAATCATTCAATTTGAAAATGTCTTCAGCGGAACAGACAGAAGACTGTGATGGTTTAAAGATGTTTAAGTCATGTGCTATGTGACAGGGACCATGTGCAATACCAGGTCATCCTATACAGAATCACTGCTGTGAGACTTGAGTACTTTGTAGTATAAGTACTACTGGTGCTCTGACATTTGACGGACTCAAACCTTTGGGTCTATAAAGGCATATTTGATGGTATTTTAAAGACGATGTTACATTGCTGTATTTTGTAAATTATTGTCTTTGGCTTTTCATCCTCTTCACTATTTGTAGATTTATGATGAGCTTTCTCACAAACACACAGTTTGTACCGTAACTGTCATTGTGCAAATAGTGATGTGGCCTTACTGTGTTTGTTAGGCGTCATACCGTGCGTATGTTAACACAGATTTAAGTGTGTTTGCAACACAAATTTTTTGAAACCTGACAAAGAGACTCACTAGTTTCACCCTGGTTCTATAAAACCTTCCTCACAGGTAATAAAAGCACTCATGAGAGATTGACGACGTTGTTCTTGTTGTTTATTTTCGGGACCTAAACTGCTGCTGATTCCGTGTAACAATCCATGTTGGCTCAAGCTCTGTGTTAGACATTCCTGCTTAGACAACGCAGAGTCAGAAGGCAGACTTTGCTCAAGCTGTTTAAAAGAAGAAAAGAAGACATACGTCTCTTCTTTTCTTAAAAAGAAATTTGAAATCACTCAGTGACTGCTTTCTTGAGACAGTGAGTCGTCGGCCACTGCTGGAATGATGAAGAGAAAAACCTGCGGAGCGCTTTAGCCCCATATTGATCAGTAGCTTCAAATTAATCAATAGGACTGAACACATGCAGTCAGCAGACACTTTGAAAATGTTGACAAGAAGTAAATGTGGTGAGTTTTCTGATGAGCCCTCCAAGCAGTTTGTTAGTTGACTTATAATCATGTGATTGATGCAGAGTCAGTAGAGTTAGATCAGCTCGCAGTTTATTTGAGTAAATAACGGATGATGCTGAATATTTAACTAATGGAGAATAAGAGGAGCTGTGTATTTTACTAAGGCTCGCCCTACCTGCCAAGAAATCTCTGCAATTAACCCGACATCAAAGCCCACATTCCTCTTCCTCCCCATCTTATTCTTCTGCACGCTCTCTCTCAGCGAGCTGCACGATAACACCATCACATCCGCAACTGTTCCTCCCTCCCACATAGATAAGGACGACGATTTTCCCCCCCATCAGCCTTTTCTCTCTGATCTGGCTCGAAGCCCTTCATTGTGAGCCGAGAGGAGCTTGGAAATAACACGCGCTAGTGGCTTCTTTAGAAGATGAAGTTATTGGATTTGTCTTAAGTTTGATTAAAGTTGTGGGGATGTTGTCAGTCATTGATGTAAAGTGTTTGAATTATCAGCATTTTCTATATCCAACAAGACCATCAAATCAACCAAATCTACGTCTGATGTGAGAAACATTTTTACTTCTGTTTTTATCTCCTGCCATTATACACTTAAAAAGATATAATACAGATTGTTGATGTTCGAGGATGTGTTGGCATAAGTAAGAGTTAATCGTTAATCTTGTGTCGAGGGGAAACTCTGCTCTAAGAATTTCTTTTGTTCTCCGACAGATCAATATTTGTGAACACGGAGTCACTACCAAGGCTTCGTGCTTAAAGACTAAAGAAACAGAACTGGAATAATACTGACAACAAAACCGAGCATAATGGGAAAAAAAGCTCATCCCGCAGAGCCCGAATATCTGATTCATCCACACGACTGATATAAATAGACCCCACACGTCTTGAATCGTCTCTGCCCTTAAGCGCGTGTGTAATCTTTTCTAAGCGACGACAAGTGTACAATTCCCCCAACCACTGATTTATTTTCACTCTATTAATATTTTGCCATCAATGTGCAATCATCCGTTTAGCCCGTGACAAGCGCTGCTCGGAGAAAATAAGAGGGAAGTTGGGCGCTCGAGTTAATTGTATTTATAAAATCCTTTTCATCTCAAGTCTCACCTCTTCCCCAAACTCATCTTCTCCTCGCGCTGCAGATTGAATACAAGACTGTGTTGACTTTACAAATTTCAGTCCCATTTTCTTGATGTCTGGTTCTGCCAGACATTTAATTTAACTGGAGTTTTATGTCTTTTTAAAAATTTTCTCATGCCCCCACACAGACTAGTCAGATCAGTGTAAGTGTTAAACTCACTGTGCTCCAAATATGAACTGATCATTAGCTGCACAACATGTAAACAATATTTATACAGTATTACACAGTGTTATACAGTATTTCTATACAACTGAATTGTCATTGTAAAGGTTGCTTAGTTCAGGTTTGTATTCGTACTTCTACCACGAGTTGTGGAAACTGGATACATCAACAATTCATCTGTTTCTTGCAGCAAATACTTGACAATATTTCATCACTTTTAACAAACTGCTTCAGCTGTTAATCTCTAATTTAACTGCTTATCCATCACATTCAACTATTTCAACTGTGAATCCATTATTTTTAACTGCTATATACAACAAGTATTGTAGCTATTTATCTATTTTGAACAGACTTAGCTCTTTAATCATTACTTTTAACTTTTCCAGCCATTTCTACTTTTAACAATTTTAACTATTCCATTTCTTTGTATTTTTAACAGTTTTCTTATTATCACTTTTAAATGTTCCAGATACTTATCCATTACTTTTAGCTCCTATTGAAGCTTGTTTATCAGTCAGCACTCTCAGTTGAAACAACACATGGTGACAACACTTGACAGTATAAGCAGCCATGTATTGTAAATACAGATAAAAGCAGCATCACATCAATTTCTTCTATTATGTGACTGTGTGTGTGTGTGTGTGTGTGTATATATATATTAGTAATAGACTTTATATGTTGAAAATGTAGAAGCTGCTTTTTCGGAACTTGTTTTTAAACTATTCTGAATGAAATAATGTGATTTAACAGCACAAGACTTTATAATGAGATTATATGCCACCAGCGAGGGCATGTGTAATACCAGTGTGTCTTGTTTTAGTTTCACTGAGCAAACACAGCACATCACTGATGAAATTAAAACTTACCTGTGGTGTCAAAGTGAAGAGGCCATGAATCAGATCAGGCGCAGCTGTCCCACATCTCAGACAGAGCGAGAGGAGCTTACAGTCTGCTGAGTGGCGTGCATCTGCATACTCATTCAAATAACTCCCGATTCTTCGAGCCTCCTCGCAGAGCGTTACACATCGCCGTCAATCAGCCCCCTCTTCTCCATCAGCGCCACCTCCCCCCTCCCCTGTGTGCACTAAAACGAGGAGGAAATCATTTATTCATGACACCCGGCATCAAAAATCAGTATTTGTCTGAGTCTGATTCACGGCAGTGAGGGGATATTATTAGACACACAACTATGCCCTAATGGGACAACATTTCCATTCCCAAAGTTGAAATTGCACCCACAGCTCGCTCGCTCGCTCTCATTCCACGGAGCGACACTGTCTGTGGCTGCTGAGGATATGGCTGTCACTTTCTGCAAACATTAGCAGGACATAGCTGCTCCTCGTGTGACACAGAGCCTCTGTTGAATGACACATTCGATGGAGGGCTGGCTGTTAGACAGTACACACAATTACACATTGTCGTTGTGCGTATTTGACAAAGTGATGCAAATAGTGAGTGAATCATGAGTCACTTGACCCCTGCTGCAGTTACATGGCAGATTTACTGACAGTATTTTTGCACAGGACAATCATCTCAGTCATTACTGAACCATTACAGATGATTATTCTGTCCTAAGAGGATCACAAATTAGCTCATCGGCCTGATGGAGAGATTCTTGGAAAGTGATGCATACACCATATACGGAGGAAATGCTGAGATGTCAGCAAAGTGAGTGCAGCTGCCCTCAGTTCAGCCTTCGCGAGGTCCTCCAGCAATTTAGTGCTGCACTTAGACAAGGATGGAAGGCTTGCAAGAGAAAGATTAATTAAAAAAAATTGGATGCAGCAAAAAACGAGACTTTTTAGTCCCTAGTGTGGTTTAAGCAACAAAACATACTTTTCCCATAATGCAGCTCATTCAGGATTTTGTTTAGACTTTAAAAAAGCCCCTAATGAGCCACAAGCCAACTCAAAGACAGTTCCATGTAGGCGACAGTGATTAAAGGTAGAAACAAGTTAATATTTTTTAATTTCTAATGAGACCCAAGGTTTATACATATAACTGAGTGCTGTTGGAATAATTCATGAGAACACGTGTTGATGTGGAAACACTGACATGAAGACAGATAACCACACCAGCATGAATATTATAACGTGATGGGAGCTTTTTATATAAAGGCTATGCAACAAGTGATATTAATAGATAATTGTTTTTTTAACGAATGCCACGATAAGACCTCATCAACAGTGAACTTACCCAGCGAACAATAATAAACAGCATTGTTGCACCAATCCAGTGACGGAAAATAGTCCCCAACAAATGTCCAACTGTTTTTGAAGTTACTGAGCTTTGTTTGGAACTGAAACTTTATGTTTGTGACCTATTTAAAAAAAGTCATGAGTGGGTTTGGACAGAGAGCAGCATGCAGCCTGAGGAAGTCACAAAGAGTTGTAGTTATTTCAAGGGATTGATTGACAATAACCCGTATAAACATGGCTGTGAACGAATGAATGATTCTGTCACTGAATACATATTTCGTGTTAAAGTGATTCAGTTCAATCCACATTGAAACCATTCAGGAGTTGTTTCTTTTGATGGAACAAAACGTCCTGCCAGTTGCTCCAGTGGAGCAGCTCTGCAGTGAATGACTGCTGTTCCAGCAGCTCTGAGGTGTGAATGTGTCAAACTGTACATCTGTCAAACAAAGTGCACCAGAAAGAAACTGCAGAAAGCTTAACCATAGTGAGTACATTCAAAAATAAAAGGTAAAATAACTCCAGACGGTGAAATTTAAATTTAGTAGAATGAAAGGGTGTAACTTTGGGTTGAACATTGGGTCAAATAAGGTCAAAAACACTCTGGGTAATTTCTAAATTATTACTTATTACACTTGAAATCCCTTTGAAATAATAAAACAATAATTTGTGCATCATAAAGAGATAATACCAAGTAGCTTTTAGGCAAAGTATAAAAAAAATGAGGATATAGAAAGTCTTTGTTCGTGCTGTATTAACTGAATCGAGAAAAACAACCACTTTATCATAACAGCTTTATTTCTAAAAGGAAATATTTTTCATTCAGTGGGATGATGTGATTATTGGGGGTCCTGCAGGTCGGTATTGATTATTGGAGGGGTCATAACCCCCCCAACCCCCCCCATCTAATCTATCTATTCATCCAGCATCTATTCCCATTCTCAGCAATGAGGTTTTCAAACTTGTGTTGCTGCCACAAGAATATTTATGAAATATCCGCTGGAGTGCTACCAAGCAACACAAATGTGTAAAGCGCAGCCTAGTGATAAATAATCCAAAGCTTGCAGAGGATGAGAGAGACGGTGAGCGAGCCTTGTCGCTCCACACACAAAAAGCTATTCTGTTTTGCTCCCAAAGAGAACTCAGACGCTGTGGGTGGAGAAAATCAATCTAGTCGACCCAGAGAGTGGGAGAGGAGAAATGAGAACCGTGAGAGGCTTTGATTATTGTGATGGACTTAAGTCAGCTCTGCAAAACAGCCACTTCATACGTCTCGGCTGTTTATCAAATCAGAGGAAGCATTTGCATCACACTTTTCCCGCACTTGTGGCTGCTTGGAAGGAAAATTAGCGAAGGAGCTGGTCCCCTAGATTTTCAAGAATTTGACATTTTGATGAATAGATTTTCAGACGAGTCTCAACTCAATCCCCTCCTCCCCCAAAAGAAAAACTCCCACACAATTAATTGAATTGCAGCTGTCAGGAGCAATAGCTTCAGTGAGTCAACAGAGCTGCCTGGGACAGATAGCCTCTGTCCACAGGGCTGCGCTGCCTTTTCAGCGGCTCAGGACAAAACCCACAACAGTACAAACAGATAATACAGGGTTTAAATGACTGGTGCCCTGTGGTGATGATAAAAACACCAACCACATCCATAGGCCCCACCCTGTGACTAGATTCCTCAAAAGTAAACATGCAGCAGGTTGTTTTATAGTCAGCTCACCTCACATCTTGCACTGTTCAGCATGTTCGCACTTACTTAAGTATCACACATGGATCCGAGGCCGCAGGGGAAGACTTATGATTGAATATAGTGTGGATAATCGTGGCTCCTTGTGTTTGAGGTGTGTTTGCACGTTTGGGGTGAATTTGTGGGAGCAAGACCCCGGCAGGTTTTCTGCAGGTTTCAACAAGTTAAATTTGAGACTTAAGACCGCATTGAAAGACTTCTGTCAAGAAAGACATATGAAGGAATATCTGAGTCCCATTATTTCTCATGTTACATGTTATTCTTGTTTTTTTTTTTTTATATTTTATTATATTTTATTAATATTTTATATGGCTTCAGCTCCCCCCACAACCCTCAAAGGATAAGCAGTAAAGATAATAGTTGGAATCTCAGCCTTTATTTACTTCTTTTTTTTTTTTTTTTTTACACTTTTCAATAATGTGGAAACTTTCTACCCAAGAGATCAAGACCAGTGCAGGGAGGAGACCTTAACTTCAGGAAAAGGCACTGACACAAATTCTAATTTAAGTTACACATATGTGCTCAGTAGATGGCGCTGCTCATCACTAGAGGAGAGTTGCCCTTCTTCCCTCTCACCTCAAAACATGTTCAGTTCAAAGCAGTGACGACCAGACTGTCTGTTTTTCCTCAGACACATGTAGAACTTTGTTTTAGGAGTCAGACGAGCCTGCAGGTTATTCTTCAATGTTGGTTTTATTCAATAGATGCAAAGAACAACAGCACAAAGTCCCCGTTCAAAAGATTGGAGATGTGAAGAGCTGCGCTGAATCTGAACAATAAACCAAAGCATCGACACAATATTCATAAACAGCTGAGCAAAAACAACTTGAGTGCTGCTTTGAATATGATACCAGCATGTTACATAACAAGTTGCAGGTGTTTTCCACAGGATTGGCACTCTGGCGGCTTCAGGATTAAGTATCCACAAATCACACATCATACACTCAACACAATCAATCCAATCTTATTTTAAATAACACACCCAGCATTCACTCTGCGCTACATACACAAGTTTCAATTTGGTGGCAAAACATAAGAAAATACATTTATATGCACTGTATCGCTCATCAAGTGCTCATGTCAAGCTTTTTTCATTGTCATGAGAAGGAAACTTAAGTCTGTTGGAAATTCTTTTGTATTTTGATTCATCCATTTGATTCCATTGATGGCGTGATACACATAGATATAAAAATTGGTGATGAGTACTTTGTTAAGCAACACTTGGAGGATTCTATCTAGCACAGAAGATAAAGGCAACATTTGGGACTGCTTCTGAATGCAGTCAAAGCTGTCTACCAGAATTCATGTGTTCAACTTATGATTGTGACTCGTAAAATTGCATGTGTGTTGTGCTTTCTTAGGACTGTGTATGTCTGCATCAGTGTTATCAGTGAAGCTCGTGTGTTTGTGGAGTGTGCAGGGTTGTTATATTGGTAATGCAGCAGTGACAGCTGGTTGAGGTCAGTGGTTTTGGCTGGAGTGCGGCTCAGGATTGGACTCTGCCGTTGCTTCAGCCTTGTGATGCATTTTGCTGAGGTGTTTGATCAGGCTCTCCAGTTGAGGGTTCCCCCCACACTGCTCGATGAAACTGTACGCCTCCACCTCCAGGTCACGCAGAGTTTGACGGGTGTAGGCAAACGAGCCGATCTTCTCCAGGTAGTCCACGCAGTACCTTTTGATGTCCATGTTCTCCGTGCGCTGCCTCAGGATGTTCTGCACTTGGGTGCTCTCTGGACGCGACCATATGGCATGAATGATGGGAAAAGAGAACTTGCCCTCTGTGAGGTCCTCGCAGAAGCTTTTGTTCTCGCTGTACTTGTGGGAGCTCAGGTTGGCGTAGTCATCGCGGATCTGGAAGAAGAGACCCAGTGTGTCCAGTAGCGGTTTCAGGTCTTGTTTCCAATCTGAGAAGAGCTGCATCAGGCCCACAGCCAAACCAAAGAGCCCCCCAGTTTTCTGCAGCACCATGTTGCGATATTCCTGCTCAGTGGGACAAGTGTAGGTGTCCCTCCAGTGGATGTCCAGGCCCTGGCCACGGTGCAGCTCCAGCAGTTGCTGGGTAAAAATTTGGACGGCCTCGGGATGCTCCAGGGTTAGCACCTTCTCCAATCCCAGGAAGTAGACGTAGTTGGCTGAGTTGATGACGGAGGGAATACCGTAGATGCTGTGGGCCACGGGGAAGCCACGCCGCAGCTTGGAGCTGTCCTCTATGTCATCTATGAGCAGGCTAGCATTGTGCAGCATCTCCGTCACCTGGATGATCACCTAAAAATCATACAAACAAATCCATGAATGAAAACATCTAAGCATTCCAGGTATTATTGCTAAAGGAAGAACTTTCTTTCCTCTTGAACTAGTAACAGGTTCTTAGGAGCTTTGTGTAAATTATGCATTACAATGTGTAAACAGCAGAGGGTGCCATGTCTACACTCTTGTCTTCACTGTTCCACCAAGTCTTAAATAGTTGTTGATGAATGGAAGCAGGCAGTTAGTCAGGGAGAATAAAGAGTTCAGCGGAGACACACCGCAGGCCTGTCACAATCACATTCAGATTAAAGCATTTTATCTGGTTTGCTTTAAAACTCAGATGTGCCGGAAAGAAAGAGAAGCAGAGACAGAGCGAGTAAGCGAGAGCAACCGTGGCCTGATGAGTTTACAGGAAATGTCACATGACCAAGCTGTAAGAGGTGGGCCCACTGTGTCCTCTTAGTGCACTTTCACCTTCTCTTTAAAGAGAATGACGAGGCCTGAGGACTTGACGAACTCCAACGTCTTTGATACACTGCGACCCTGGAACAACCACAACACACATGTACTGCTGCGGTGAGTAAAGGGTATTGTAGATACTTAAGATGCTTGCTGAACTTGTGTCAAGAGTCATTTATCAGTGTAGCACACAGACATACTCTGTGACACATCCTGTCTGAAAACCCAAGATGGCTTTGTCTCAGGTCGGCATTTGACACCAAGCAGCCAGGGTGTCAATCAGGTGTCTGTTGTCCTGAGCTGGCAGTGCAGCCTGCTGGAGTGCTCCGCTGATTTAAAACACAAGTGGTGTGGCCTGGTAATGAAAGCTGTTTGTACGGGGCTGGGGGAGCACAAAGAGACGCTCAGTGGATCGGGCAGATGGTCAAGACTGGGCCAGCTGAGCAGTTTATCCGCCAAACGCAACCTTTCCCTCGGCAGGGTCCCCGACACTTGCTCACCCTGCAACCTCAGTGAGCCACTCACAAGAGAGGAGTGAGGGGGTGGTTGGTAGAGCTACAATGAATGCACACACAAACGAGGGAGGAATATTATTACATAGAAGACAAACACACAATTGAGGATTCAAAGGCTCATTGCTAACAGACTGTGGCCTATGTGAATTATAAGTCTGTGCTGTAAAAAAAAGTATATGGAGAAGGACAATTTAAAAGGGTGGATTAAATGTGTTACAGATAATGTTAAGATGTTGTGAGATGGAATTACTAGAGGTTTTGGGCAACAACTGCATGATTTCATAGGGGATATTCCCTTTTATTCAAGTGGACATGAACCCTTTCATTAATGCTGTGCTCCATCTTTGTTTACTCTGACCTAGTATCGTCTGTATTGATGCTGACATCTCTGCAGAAATCTGACTTGTGTTATCTCTATATAGATACCAAGTCTTCATTTTTTCCAGTAAGTTTGGTTTTTGAAATCTAATATTTAACAGTTCTTCTAAAAATAGACTGGACATATACATTTTGTTGACTTGTGTACCTAAATTATCCAAAATGTTTCCAACAAAAGTTTAAATCCACAATTTGATCGAGGTAACTGGACGTTTTATTTTGGTCACCTTTTCAGTTGTGTCACATCCACTTAACCCGTGGCTTTGCCTGTCTCTGCTAAAATTTCTGGGCCAAACGATGTATGTGAAGGAAAAGCACACTGCTAGCCAGTTGACTGTTTGTTTTGTGTTGCACAATGCACACTTGTAATGGATCAAGATTATTCATTGTTTGCTGCGTAATGTGAATTCAACTCATAGGGGATATTCACTCTAAAATGTTATTTCTCTGAACGAGTGTCGTCTATACTGATGCTTAAACCTCTGCAGAAAGCTGATAAGTGTTATCTTTCTACTACGATTAGTCATACAGACCCTGTAGTTGCAGAGATATACTCTATTCATTGTGGAGGGACCTGGGAAAAGGACAGCTTTTAAGAGGTTCAAGAAAAAAAAGTGTAGTCACCTGCCAGAATTTACCAAAAATAAATCTGGACCCCAGAGAGGTGTAAGAGCCTTCACTGCACCGAGAGATGTCATTGGTCATGACCAGAGGTTATTGATGTAGGAACTCACTGTTTGCCAAAGCTACAATCAGTAATCCATTAAGAATGTAGTGAATCCTTCACAACAAACTGGTCCAGTATACTGAAGGGGAAATACTCTAAAACAGACAAGTCACTTATGTGCTCAGATAACCCTCTCTCAATTAGAAGAACTACAGAAGGTGCTGAGTTAACCACCAAAAGTATGTCAGACAGCAGGACTAACAGGGTCATGTAACACAGTCGTCCTGTGACACTCACTGGACTGTGACTTCAAAAGTCATGGTGTCATGAATCTAGAACAATGGTTGTAGTGTTTACATGTAACAAAACAAGGCAAACGTCAACTAGTTTCTGTACAATTCTCCATAAACCAGTTTAATCTTGAGTTTTTTTTAATCACGTCTTACATGGATTGTTTTTGACATTGTATGGTTGAGTTTAAATATGTAACTTAGGCCACGAGGGGTCTCTCAATCAAAACAACAACATGATGCAGCAAACAGGAATAAATTATCTTGATCAATTACGAGGGACCAATACAAACAGTGGAAGAAAAAAGCAGTCAACTGGCTTACTGGCTACCAGTGCCCTGGAAAATATATCAGAGGCAACCAAAATAAAATGTTCCATAACCTTGAATATAATTGGGGATTTCACAGAGTTTGAAAATTGTTGGATAATGTTAGTAATGTAAGTAAACAAAATATATAACATCTGTCACGACAGGTTTTAATTTGAATAAGGAATTGTTACATACAGTATTACATCTTGAAGCCAAAGACAAACTTTTTACCATGTGGACAGTGGAGCCCTGACCTAATTAATTAACTGACAGTACAGGGTGATCCTGCAGTGTTCTGTAGATGAGGTGGACCAGCTTACTAGAGATAAACAAACCTTCACTGTCATCAGAAAAAAAGAATACACTTCAATACCACAACAGAGGAGCTACTTTAAATTGTGAAGCTCATATATTTAATCAGTGCGGCTGTTGTTTATTCATCGACTAAACTGATCACAAGATGAGAAGTGTCAGTATATATAAGGCTGACTCTACCATTTCCTGGGGAAAAAAAACCTGCTATGCAAATATATCACAAAAGCACTGTCTAGCCTGATCAGCCCTTATTGCACAACGATTTATATACCATCACAACTTCTTATCTGGTCTGTGCAATGATAATCCTCTGCCACATTACAGGCTGTATAAAATATGACCTGTCTGAGAGGGATAACTTAATTATAACAAGAAGCTCTGAGCCCGAGGCAGAAGACATTCCCACGAATGACACATGCTGTCAAAGTGAAAGACGGAAGGCAGCATGTAAGAGCTAACCTTTTCTACACTGTCAGAGAGAACAAGAGGAAGCCAGTCAGCTAAAAGGTTGCAAGGCAACTGATGTGTACAGAGGGAATTTCCTACTACACAGCACACAAGCACATACAGGGTTTGAAAGCAAAAAAAGAAAAACACTGCAAAATGAATGAGGTTGTGTGCCACCATCACTGCCTCAATCTATCTGAAGGAACGGTTGTTTCCATGGCGGCGACTTCTTTGCAGCAGTGTGCTAATGATGATGAGAGGAGTGCTCTCAGTCTGCATGATGGGTTCAGCAGGAGTTTACAGAGCTGCTACACAGCGATAGAGGGGGGAGGGGGGAGACAGAGAGGGCAACGTGGGGAGATAGTTCTTTGATGTATGAGGTAGATTAAACCTCAAGTGCCTGCTGTACAATAACATGGAAATTCTGTCTGAGGGGGAATTATCAGGAGAACAAAAAGAGAATCTGGACACAATCTGTGTATCAAAAACTGATCAGTCAAACTCAAGTTAACATATTGTAGCCTCCAGGAGCACATGAGCTCCTGCATTGAAAATGTCAGCACTTCGGTGAAGAATCACAGCTGCGTAGAATGTGATTTTTAAAAAAGAAATCCCACTTTGAATTTTGAATTGCTCCTTTTTAATTTTGCAAACAGAATTGATTCGTTTTGAAGACATGCAGCCCATTGTAATAATAAAGTGTGAGATGGATATTGTAGTGGTGAGAGGGTTGAAGTGACAGGTGTGATCTATAATATTCAATAATTCATCTGCAGAGACTGACAACTTTATTAGTTTTTCACATGCAAGCACTTGTTTACGTTTTCTTTTTTATTGAGGACTGAAAACATGTAATCATGATGGGTGGGGAGCTTTTATTATACAGCGAGACTTAACATGCTGCACTATGACACTAGGTACATTCAGGCAACACAGATTTGTCTCCATGTCTTAGTTACTAGATGAGGGACTATGATAATGCTAATGCTATGAGTATTAGGTTAATGGCCTGATCTCACAAAGGGGGCAGTAGTGAGTGTCCTTCTCAGTAACACCAATAAATTCCTGAATAGTTAATTTGAAATTATTTATGAGTGAGGAAAAGCATCAACGCCATCACCCGGGATAATTCATGGTTCACTGATTTCTATGAGTGTGCGTAATATGGTGCAGCTTGATGAATTTAGGGGAATGCACTCTACTGGGTGCCAGTCTGGTTTAAACTGTCAGTTACACACTCTCACAGGAGATCGTACCCGCTCACCACAGATACATAGAGCAGAAACAGACAAGAAGGGTGTGGCGTCATGCTCACTATTACATGTCAGTGTAACATCAAACTAAACTAAACTTTAAAGCTGCTATTTCAGGGTAAAAAAATTGCAGTACAGTTTTAAGGACAGACATCTGACTTCCAAATTAAAATTTTTAAAGGATTAATATCATGTGGTAATACTTTAAAGCCTTGGGAATCAACTCGATTTCACAGCATCTGGCTCGACAGCAGCTCACATGAAGTAAGTTAAAAAAGATTAGTGAATAATTTAATGACACCTCAACTCATGAGGACGTCTTACTTTCACTCTCTCCGGAAACACAACACCACTCTTTCTAATTAGAAACTCAGCAGATTCCTGCTCAAATATTTTTTTGTTCTTTCCAGATGATGCTGAGGAATGAGAGGAGAGAGAACTTCTGCCATTTGTCTGAGTAGTACTTGTTGGAGGGGTGAGTATCACATGACCAGCATGCGCACACACACACACACTCATAAAGGCAAAGATAGATCCACAACATGGGCAACAAGACAGGAAACTGAGGAGAGTGAAAGTAGATTTTCACAGTAAAGTGTATCTCATACATTTTTTGTGCCAGACACGTTCTAATACAAAACAAAAATAATTATTTTAAGTATGGAAACTATAAACATATAGTCACTGTCCGTCTATAAGTGAGTGTGGAAAATCTATAATGTTGTTTAACAGCAAATGCTATTAATCTTAACAGAAATGATAAACACTGTTTTTGTGGGAAGGTTCATCCTCTTCAATGAATGGAAATTGTATTATGGTTCTATTGTATAATTTATTTGTTTGTATTGTGGCCAACAGTGACATTTCCAGCTGGCACTGTTTTACTACCCTTTGTTTTACTTTCCTACATAATTTGGAAAAGAGCTGTTAATGATATTATTAAATAAAGTTATTGTTAATGTGCCCCTGATGAGCAAATAGAAAACCCTGAGTCGTGAGTTGACACATTTAAATGAAACAGTGGTTGTAACAGCAAACAGAGAACAAACAGTGCAAGTTTTTTTAATGAACCCACAGTGGGCAAATTTCACTGATTCTTTGAATCATAATACTAATGATTCAAGAAGCAAAATTCAATAATTAGTGACTTTATAGAGAATAACTACAGTCATTCTGTCGTATTTAATTAAATTTTTGTATCCTTATTCTCTTTCAAGATTAATAGCAGCTCTTGTTTTTCTGAAGATAAGAAATGTGTCTTGCAAATGGTTCAATAAAACCCTGAAGTGACGTGAACACAACACAGCACCTGATGTCTTGATCTGACACAGCTTCATGAAAGCTGCTGGGGCTGCTAGCGAGAATGCAAATGTTCAAGTCAGTTGCTACAGACACTTTTCAGAACTTTGACCGCCAGCCTCTGAGTAAAATGTCAATAGAGGAGGATGAAATTTCTCTGGATGAAAAAGAGGTTTCATACATGTAGAAGATGCCTACAACGATGTGAACTTGGAAAGTTCTCTTGGTGATGAGAGGTGATGTCATTGTTTATGTGCTGTAAACAAAAACACTGTGCTTTCCACAGTGGATTTTAAATATATTGTCTTACAACTTGTAGGCTCTACAAAGGCACTATCCCTTGCCTGAATGTCTAGGACATTTTAACTGTTGGTGATAACGCATCTGACCCGAACAATCTCCTGCTGTGTTCTTCATTTGTGAAAGACAAACTACAAAAAAATATACAAACCTAATTTTCAAGAGATCTGCTGGCATTCATGTCTAAAACCAACTTAAATCACATCAAGTGATGTCCATTGTTCTCCAACTGGCTCAACAGCCTTTCACCACAGCAACACTTGATCCTTTTGATTTGTTCCAAAAAATCTATGATGTGGTCATTGACTTAGAGGAAACAGGCAGTGCCTTTATGCAGTAAAACCTCCCAATCAGTTCTTAAAAACAGCTAATCTACTGACTACATGTTGGGAAAAATAACAGACTAATGTATCTCCCAACTCTGCAGCAGGAGCATCATCTACATAACTAAAAGATCAAACAAATATAGAATGTATTCCACTTGATCCTCAGCTGCATCAACATCCCAAGCTTTACATTTATATTCAGCTGAAAACACACTGGTTGCATTAAAATATTAATTGCTTCAGGATGAACACAGCATCATTTCACTTGCCTGGTCCCATCTACAACAATATACCCTCTGAATGTTAAGAGACTTGAAATGGCTGCTTTCTCACCTGCAGTTTGTCCTCTGGAACATTGAGCCAGTGGTTGAATGCTTGGGCCAGTTTTGTCCTCACTTGCTTTCCTGAGGAGAGAGCAGAAAACAAAATCTCAATTGTTTTAATATTTAGACATATGGACTGTAGTCAGCAAAGAGAAGTAAAAACTGCATCCTCCATAAGAACTACTGTAGCAAATCATAAGCTCATCCTGTGTTAAACAATGGGGTCTTATTGCTGATATTAGTATTTTCCCTTTAAGTCTTTACATCACAGATATTTGTTGAGGTCTTTATTGACACAGCTAGTGGGCAATAGCAACAGACTCCCAAAGAAACAAATGTTCATGACCAGGGGCGCTGCCAGGAATTTTTAAAGGCTTGCACCTGTCTTGCTTCTTGTGGTTCAATACTAGTACAATATTTACTGCTAGTAAATTGTACATGCAACAGTCTGCATACAGTATGCAATTCATTATTTGAATTCAGGGCCCCTTGGAATTGTCCTAACTTTTCCCCCCTATACGGCGCCCCTATTCATGATACTGACCTCACCCTCACTGTTAGTTCAGCAAGCATCATCTTAACAGAGTAATTATCAGCCTCACACAAAAGCAGCACTGAGCGTGGATTAACATGGAAGTATGACAAACTCCCACGTTTAAAACCCCTGAAATTTAAAGTCAATGATGGAATCATATGAGCCTAAATGACACAGTGCATCATTTCTCCAAACTGAGACTCAGTGGACTTGTCCTATTTACTTTAACACATGAACCTGTGGTGTTAGATCAGTCACTTCTCCACAGACGAAAAGTGACAGAGCAGACCTGAAGAAACAAATAATAAAGGTGGTCTCCTAAACTGCAGCAAATGAGATGTTAAACATGTACATAGCTGTTTATTTTTTTACAATTTAAACATTTTCAAACTCTTATTTTATGAACATGTCTTGTTCAAATCATTGCCCCCAGTTTCAATGGTGAAAAAAACAAACATAATTTAGGCCTTGACAGCATCATTTCTAGAACATATTTGAGACCATATGCTGCTGCCAAAACACAGATTTTTAATTTAAGTGCTACATCAGACAGATGTCGTGCCCGCACAACTTAAAACATCATGTAGTTTGATTACAGACTGAACTGTTATAATGGATTAATTTAATGCCTTTACGTTCAAGCTCATGTAATGTCTTCTGTGTGTACACTGCATTATGTAAAGGCTGTGATGGATCTAAGGCTCATTAGCAGCACGCATGGCTCTTGATGATCTTTCAGCTGCATCCCTCTATGACTCCCACTAGTCAATGAAAAAGACTCACCTGGCAGTTGCAACAAGTACTTGTATGGCTCCAACAGAATTCGCTCAGAGGCTGCTCCTGAGTCACAATCCATTGCTTCAAATGTACAAAAATCTACACTGGAAGAAAAAGAAATGTTGTAAGACTGTTGTTGGAGGATGAAGTGAGCCAGATGATGTCACCTGGGTCCTTCAATGTGGTAGATCTGTACTTAAAGATGTCAACTTCATCACCCAAGATTGATATTTATAGCTGGTCTGAAAAGGGCCTAATGCAGTGCAGAAGTGAATGGTCTCTCATAGATCAAGTTAAACCAAACAGATGACAAATGACATGCACACAAAATCCAAAACATTACATCCTATAACTAGTAGGAGCTAGTTTTACAAAACCACAGTGACAGATGAGACGACCAGAGGTTTGTCGCTGTGAGGAATAGGAACGTTACATGCATAGTATTTTGAACTAAATTATACACAATATACAGGATAAAGTCATCTAGTAATCAATATATGATACAGTAAACTATACAATATATGTTGCCGCTGGGAGATGTTCCATGCACACCAGTCTCATTTCATGTCCCAATCAGCACCCCCCACCCACAAAATGGACAGGTTTTGGACCATACGAATACTTAACATCTATCTTATATTAAAAACTATCTAAACTGACAGCATGGGGAACCAGTCTTGAGTAGATACAGCCATTACAGAACAAATTTCAGAATGGAGATTATATACAGGGGAAAGCTTTACTTTGAAAACTGCCCTTTTCATCTAAACCAAACAAAGAATTATAGGTATTGACAAATGTGATAAATGAAGTTCATGACGTAATGAACTGGGAGTCTGACACATGTGCAGAGTCATGAATTCCCTCAAGTATGGCAACACATTCATCACATGACTAGATTAAGTTGTGAATCACACAAACTGATGAGGAGCGAAGCAGCAATACTACTAGAAAGGTCCGGCTGTCATAAGCAGTACATCATTCCAACCAATAAAAACTCAGGAAGGCAATTTATGTTTAATCTTATAAAAGCCCCAAAATACATCATACACTTCAACTATAAGTGTGAAACTGGTGTTTTACTAAAATAACAATTCAGCTCAAAAAGAACCATCCACTGAAGCTTATTCTCACTAAATTATCAAATTAATTATCAGACTACTGGGACATTTTCTGTAAAATAACATAACGCTGCATGATTTCCACCAAGTTAAAATACAGAGACAGTGCAACATTGTATTGGGGAAGACATGTTCCTTAGTTTTTTAATCAAGTCATCACAGATGATAAGCTGGAATGTAGATAAAAGTGTTACTAGTTTAATAGGGGAAATGTAAATTTGAAATAGCTAACAGAAAATATAAATTCATTATAATGAAAATAAAGAAAATGCAAATCCCAGAGCCCTGCAATAGACCTAAAACTCTTTATGCCACCACACTTAACATTGCATATAATATTATATATTATAACATAATTTGCCATCGAGTTTAAATATCACTTTAAAAAAACCACATTTCAAAGTTCAGTCATGTCTCTTCCTTCCTTACACTCGGAAGTGTTGATACTTTTTATGTTGAAAATTTGCAAAATAGAACGTATGAGTTAAGTAAAACTTAGAAGACAATTCAAATGAAGTTTAACTCACAAAGACCCAAATTCTACAAACATCCGGCTAATTTCCTAGACACCACCCACCTTCGACGAGGTCTGTCTGTCTGCTGACAAGCCGGTCCTGTGCTGCTGTTAGCCACACTGCTAACTAGCATTAGTAGGCTAAAACATACGCGCCGGTATAGCACCGTTATAGCATTATTTTTCTTTCCTTTGCGAAATTTAAACTTTCCACTATATCGCTAGTCGACAGAGGCACACGATATTACTGCCACATGCACACTGTCATAGTATCTTTAGTCCCGTGTGTCACAGGCTAACTAACCGGATGCTGTGCTAAGCTACCGCCGCTACAGCCGACCAGTGCACAAACACCTCTCAACGCAAGCTAGCTTAGAGGCGGTCAATATATGCGCCTCGGTTTCCTCACGGAGCAGGCGCAGGGTGGGTGGGGAATGGAACATGGGTGCCGCGGACACTGTGTTGCAGTTATCTACAGCACCCTGTAACTGACCCCGCCTTTTCAGCAATAGGGGGAAAAAAACGCGTGTCTGCGTTGTCGGGACAGCCTGTGCAGCAGATCGAACACACCGTGTGTTGGAACGCTGGGGGTTGTAGTTTTTCAGCAGATGACTTCACACACTCCACTGAGGATATTTTTTCTGCCCGATCGACCAATCATCTGGCGCTGAGGCGTTTCCCTTCGCCGCGACATCCAATGGACGAGCGTGGATTTGCCGGAGGCGGGGTTAGCGTGGCCGTCAATCGCGCTCGGGGGGCGGGCAGAGGATCACACAGAGCTAGGCTAGAGGAGCTACTCGAGACAAACAGCAGCGCTCTGCGAAAACCCACTTTTACCATCCGCATCCAGCGAATACCAGGAGCCGACGAGAAAACCTCATATTCCGCACATAAATGTCCGCATGGATTACTGATACCCTTTCGTCGACGAGCAGAAGTGTTTCTCAACTTGACGGCGTAGGTGAGTGTTGTTTTTGCTCGGTAAAAGCCATCGCTATTTGCAACATTTTTCACCAGCTCGCTTCTTCCCCCTGCTGCTACCATGCCAACCTTGACGTTAGCTAACTTGTTAACTAACGCTGCGATGGGATTTGAGGAAATGAATGAATTCGTAGGCGACTGTGCCGGAGGAGAGCTGTCGAGAATACAGAGACAACTTGCTCGGCTCGGTAACAAAGTTACGGTGTTAAAGCCAGCCCGGATTAAGATGGTGAGCGCAGGGAAAGGTTATGCTACCCCCGGGGGTTGACCAGTCGCGAGCCTCGCTGGACGAGCACCGCCGGGTGGGGGGGTGTTGTGTTGTTCAGCGGAGGAATCCTCGGAGGGGCTGGTCGTCGCCTGTCTCAGCCGTCAAAAGTGATATTACACGGATCTGCATAAGCCCGACATCGCCGCGGGATGTGATTCGTCGAGTAAGCGGTGTGTAGTTTCGCAGGTACATGGTACATCGTCGGGGGGTTTTCTTTTGTGTCACCACCACCACACCAGTGTCGTTAGCCTCTCACGGTCGACTCGTCCCGGTGTGGGCTGGAGGAGGAAGACGGGCAGGCTTGTGTCGAGGAACTCACCCGTTTGATCGGTCGTGATATTGGATGTGAGGTGGACTATTTTCCCCTCTGCTCAGAGGAGACTATTCCCAGTGTTGCGTGTGCGTGACCAGTATTTTTTACAACATCACCGCGGCTGCAGGAATCACGAGGGGGAAGCTTTAAATGGAGTCGGTGTTTTAGTTGACCGTGTGTTTTCGGAGCATCGGGGGGGAAAGATGGTCGAGGCTCGGGCTGTTATTGTCGGCGGTGGTCAGTCACTCTCCAGCGGATCGTCTGGGGCGGGTGACATTGTATCCTCCGCGGATCGCTCACCGACACAAACGAGGGCTGCGACCTTGGCTTCTCTTACGATAATGAAATGTTGTGGGTATTAACGAGATGTCGCTGCGCCTTTTTTCCACGGCTCTCCCCGCACAAGCTTGACCTTGTTGCGAACCGCTCCGTCGACTTGTTTCTTTGTCAGGAGCAGACCTCTCTCAGTCAGCGAAAAAGCCAGACCAGTCGATACGGGGAACATTTTGAGGAGAGACAAAGTGACTTTTTCTGTTTCTCTCTCGCTGGACGACTGACTCCTCTCCACTCGGCCCAGCTTTCTGTATTATTGAATATGTCTCTAAAGGTCTGGGTTGCGTTTGTCTGCCCACAAGCTGCGTGTTGTTGCCGCTGCTGTCGAGTGCACTCTCCGCAGAAGAGCAGCGCACCGAGACGAGGCACAGAAACGAAAGGGGAAAAGGAGCAGCCGCCTCGAAGCAGGTTGTGTTTTTTAAGAAAAAGGGAGAAGACAAGAGACGCTTGACAGAAATGGCTGTAGCGCGGGCAGGTGAATTGTTAGCACCGCTCCCGCAATCCCCAGTGTTTGTGCGCTGAAGTGTTGTAGCCGACTGTCAGCTACAGAAATGGCGTCATCCTCTGCTGTATAGCCAGTGCAGTGCAGACAAGCAGGCACAGCACGCTGCCCGACCCACAAACCCGAGCACCCGTGTGGCTCTCACTGTCTATCACTCCTCCACAAACCGCCACATTATCAGCGCGATTGTCACCCGAGAGAGGGGGGGGTCGCCTCTCTGGAAAGCGGCTGGTTACTTCGTGTTTGCCCGCCCTTCGCAGCCACAAGCCCCGGGTTGACTGCCTCCCTCCCTCCCTGGCTGACTACAGTACACTGGGCATTACATAAACGGCTTTAAGGGCTCTGCGAATGAGAGTGATCAGCCTGCCACGGCTTTACTTCGCAACACAGATATTGTTGGGGAATGTGGCTCGAAAGCTCAAACACGCATGCCATCAGCCCACTGCATTAGTCAGGCTTATTTAAGCAAATGATCGTTCAACTTTTAGAATCAATTACAGCTTCGGTTCAGAGTGAACCTCGCTTTCCCCCCGGGAAGAGATTTCATGTGCAGACGATGTGTTGCGTTCATCCACCGCCCAGCTTCTCTTTTTTTTTTCGCGTGGCATCCAGAAGAAGTGATGTCATCATAACATAACCCTGTGTTATTGTGGCAGACTGAAGTTGGAGCCTTGTGTGTGTGATGCCTGTAACAGCTTCTCCATCTTCTGTTTGCAGCCACAGATTCGTCACACTGGTCGCCTAGAGGACTCATTGAAAGATGAAGGTATGGCTGGTCGTTCATTTATTTCCATGCATGTAGTTTGATGCCACGGGAAACTCAATCCCTCCATCCATGCTGCTTGTCATTGTCTTTTAACTTCTGTATAAACACGCCATAACCACGCAATGATAACTTTACAATAACTTTACCAATAGAGCACAACAGTGCTGCAAGAACACAAACGGTTATAATACATAAGGAAGACAAAAGAAATATACTAGCATGGTACCTCAAATGATGCCATAGTTCCTCAGACGATTCATGCAAACGCTCTCGCCTACCAAGTTTTCAGTCTAGATTCAGAAGCAGACCCTTGTCCAAAGATCGTATGGTAAATATACTAAGTTCAGTGCTTTTATATGCACTCTTTCATCATTTCATGAATAAGTCTATAGTGTGAATAAAATGTCAATTTTGTTTTTGTTAAAACACGACGAGGTGAATGTCTTGGACGATGGCCAAAGTAATACATTTATTTGATAAGCATGGTATTGAGTTTCCAGTGGCGGCAGCTGTATTTGCAAACACAATCTGGGATCTGTGATGTTGATGTTATGCTTTGTTATTAAATTATGTGCTGAGATAGTGCCCGGAAGTGTTGTGGTATATGTGAATTCCATTTTTAAAACTGCTTTCATGCAGTGTGTAATCTAAATCCCGTAAGTTATGGTGAATAATACTAATATACGAATATTCGAGCAATTGAAAGTGTAAAATACACAAACTATTCTGAAGCTCCTCCAGCCCTGTTCTATTTAAAATAGTCACAGCTGTGATTGTTAGAGAGATGGGCTGTGATGCCAGCTATTCAATCTTTTCCTTTATTGTCAGGGGATCAGCGTTGTGACAGTTGTTATGACTGCAGGCTGTTGTGTCACTTGTTGTCATGTAAGCCATATGTAGACTACTAACTTTGCAAAGTCTCTTTACTTTAAATTAATTGGTGTGACATCGAGAGACTCTGAAAGAATGGTGTGCTGTTTGTAAAATTTGATATATAGTTTGACATGCTTGTGGAGCGAAGAATACAGCAAGTAGAAGATGTGAGCATTTTGTGATGGAACACTTGAACTTGGACAAATTATATGTTGATTCTGGTAATGATCTGTTGTCTTGTCACTTAGCTGTTAATGGTGTTATGCCAGTTGTGGTTATCACTATATCAAACTATACCACCACATGCTAATCGACAGTGCTACACATAGAAATCCGGTATCAAAACTGTTTGTGTTGCCTGTATCTATACTTGTCCTGTTAGCAATATTGTCATGAACTGCAGGATAATTTCTGGATATATAATGAGTTGTTTGTTTCACATGAAGGTAATGGAATTCTGATTGCCATGACTAGAAAAGCATTTCAGTCAACAGAGCCACAGATGATATGGAAACATGCAGAGTTGGCAGATACCTCCCTAATTCTCACCTTAGGCTAGCTCTGCTGTTTTACTTCCTGCAAGTGTCTACTTGAATAAAAATTAACTTATGAAAATGTTTTAAATGGTACATGACCATTTGGCAGTTATTATCCTCTCCAGCTTGATAGCATTAACCTTATATTAGAGTCTGATTACACTCACATTTGCTTATCCACATAACTACTGCAGGGACTGTAGCATTCTCATTGACATTGGCATTTGGTTTAATGTTGTAGCATTTGTTGTTTTCATACCGCTACAGAGTCGTCTGACTCTATCGATGCTAGAGGAGCGCTCACTTATTTTATCACTGTTACATGAGCATCTGCTCTATGTCTAAACTTTAAATTGTACTGTAACTAGGACAGCCTTTATTATGTTCACTTAGCATTTCATGTCTCTGGCTTTAGGTCTACAGCCTTTTCTTCTCCAACTGCACACAATGATTCAATGATATGTGCAGGATAAAACACTCAGAACATTAGACATCATAGGAGTGCACTAATTCTTTGGATCATTATTTGAATTCTTGAGGCTAATTAATTTTAAGAAAAATATCATAAATGCATATGCTTGATGTCCTTACTTGAAGTGATCTGTTGCTCTCAACTATTGTGCTTTGCCCGTGACCTAGGTAACCTAGACATGATCGTAATGTTCACGACTGTCCAAAACCTCTCAGGTGTTGAGTGTAGATTTGCGCGTTGTGCACATTAATTTCCTTTAAGTTGAAAGCTGTATGAATTGACTGTATGTAAAGGGTATCTTGATGTATTCTCTTGTCTAGTTTAGTCAAAGCGCTTTACAGTCACATTCACCCATTCACACACATTCATTCAGCCTGTCTATACATAATGCTTTTTCTATCGCACACTAATCATACATCGGAGGCACAATTTGGGGGTTCAGTATCTTGCCCAAGAACACTTGTCATGTAGAAGTGGACGTGTCAATAGTTAAATCAAAATGGCACTCAACAAATTGCACTTATAAGGTTTAGTTTACCTCTCAAAATAACAAATAATGCAGATGGTGTCATCAGAGATAACTCAGCTGAGTTTGAGAATTAAAATTCAAAATGTACAGCATGAGTGACAAACTCCTGCTGTGAGAATTATAAGAATTTATAAACTACCGGAGGTCTCCTGAAGGATGCAATGACATTTTTGCTTTGGAATGTTTTTGGAGCTTGGACCAAGTTCGAGAGCAAAATTTAAAATATAGCTGCTGCTTCGATTTTGACCATTGTGTTTATGTGTCTTACTTACTTTTATGGAAGAGTGAGAGAAGAACTACTGCTTATCCAAAGTTACCCCGAGGTTGCCTGTGAAATACACGCTATTAAGTGAGGAGGGAATGTTTTCTGTGTGTTTACCTGCAGGTTGATGTGTAGGTGTTTAATTGGTGTTGAAACCACCAAAGATGACATAGCAGTATTTAAACCTCAAAAAAGTAATAAGGCCCCAGTGTGCGCTGTAACTTTTCAAAGGGTATATTCAAAAAATGTATTTGCATCATGGAGTCATTTGTAAGTTTAAGGCCACATGTTGATAATAGGTCAGGATGTGTGTTTCTTGAAAACAATAAGCATTTATGATTCATGAGATCTTGTCTAAAAGTTATTTAGAAATTCAAAGGTGGTATTTTATCACAATTTTCAAGTGTTGCGAATTCTGAAGGAGAGGATTTGCTGGCCTGTCCTAAATTTGGGGGAATAAATGGTAAACAAAAGGTTTTAAGATTTTTTTCGCCCTAGTTTAAAGCTATGGCATTGCCAAGGCAACTCCTGCTGAAGCACCAGTCACTGGAATTGTGGTGACTCTGTTTCGGACAAAGAGGTGATTCACAGCAGGATTATTGTATGTGTGAGCGAGGCTGGGAGGGAGCTTAATTCTTTCCTGCATGCCTCTTGCATGTTCCTTTGTTCGGCCTACAAGCCTATTGATTATAGCACAATATAATGGGTCAAAACGGTTTATGATATTTCTGTTATGCTGACTAGTGCCTGAATGGTCTTTATAAAAAGCTGCACATTTGTATGCTTATGCAATGGATAGTAATTTTCACATTAAAAAAAAAGTTAAAATCTAGTAAATATGATTTGATTTTATTGTTAAACATGGAAATGTTGTTGAAGTGTGTCATTGTGTTTCCACCACACCAAGCTCTTCATTGCATCATTTTACATTGTTGTGTAGCTTCAAACATACCAACATGCAATAGCAACACATCCATCCTAATAACAGCACGTGCCATTTTAATTAGTAAACTTGTCTTTAAAGTCTCTGATCTGAACAGCACACTGTACATAGCAGCAAGATTTGCCTGTAATCTAAATAGCATTATCTCTGAGTGATACTAATTATTAGTTATCAGTATTTGTAGAAGAAGAGTTGCATGCTTTAATATAACAACACTACAGCACTCATTTAAAGTGAACCATGTCAGTATAATGTTATTATATATTTGTCACTATTGACCCATTAAAACATGAGCAGCATTTGTATGTTGTTACTGGTCTAGCAAACTACTTACAAACCAATAATAATGTGTCATATGAAATAAAATGATCATACAGTATTAAGTAATGTCTGAACAAACACCAGTGTTTGTGCAACTTTAAACCTCCCAGAAGGTCAATGTGTTTACATAATGTGCTAGATTGACATCACCAGAGTTTGATGGAGTCATGTTACTCCCTGCATAGCAATACACAAGTGGTTTAACAAGTCTAATGGAGATAATATGTGACAATATGTACAGTGCAACATTGGAAAGGGGGGGGTGCTAAGTTTACTAATCATTAGCAAAAATCTTTAGCATTAGCCATGCAGTGTGCAGCCATGCAGCATTTAATAAGCGGAGCATCGCTGTCGCCGTCTACAATAACAAATGTGCCAGTGGTATGTCGCATCAGCTGCAACTAATTAACATGATGGCAGGTCTAAATTGAACTTGGCTGTTGTCAGTTTGTGTGCTCTCTGCTCACTGCTATCCTGTCAAAGATAGTTTGTCAGAAAAGAAGTGCCTCTCTGTAACACAGCTTTACAACCACGAGAGTATCTTGTGTTTCTGCAGTGCCAACAAAACCGAAACCAGGGTGAGTCGTCTTATATTTTTTTTGACCATGACCTTCAGCGTTTGGATCCAGATGCTCATAAAGGTGTGAGATTAAAAAGTCTGCAGCCGTGTTATTTCAATGTGTCTGATACACAGGCTATTCAGTCAACATTTAAAAGAAGCAGATTCTACCACACCGACCCTAACTGGATGACATTGCAAATTTGTGGTTCGTCAAGATTGAACTCTGTTACTTGTGAATCTGCTGGAGCTAGTTGTAAAGGAACGTGATGTGAGTGAGACGCTGAAGAAATATATAAACCAGTGCAGGAGCAATTAGCAAGGGTTGTCTGTATGTTTGCATGGGACAGTCACGGAGAAACAGTCTGTTGAGCAAATGACCAGGGATTCCCTGAGCCTGTCCCAGATGACAGATATAAAACAAGCTTATACACTACAGTGATTTACAATCCATAGTTAGCACACCACAACCAAGTCGTCTTTATCTCCTTTTTCTGCGGCTTTAAGCTTCCGATAGCTGCCAGGAAATGTCTTTTTACTGAGCTGCAAATAAAAATGCTATAGTCATTCATGCTGTCCAAAAAATGCACTATAAGCAGTGGCTTATTTCAACTCACACTCTGTGGACAGGGCTGTTAAATTTTTCATGACCCAAGACCTCTTTATTGAACAGAGAGGAATCTCATTCAGCTGTTGCCGGTGTCACTCCAGGATATTTTGTTTCGATAAAGCTGGAATGGTTTCATAGCCCTGACTGAATGTAGCAGCTTTGCCTGTTTGTCCTACTGACTAGAAAGGCTTCAAAACCGAGTAGGCCTCGGATCACTAGTAATCAGCTGAGGTGCGAGAGCTGTTTAAATTGTCTGTATGATTAAACAGCCAGGAAACTAGTACTTTATTGCCAACCCCAGTGCTCTGCCATTTGTTTTAGCTTGCCCTTTGTGGATGGGAGAAAAGCTTTTATAGCATGAATAAATGTAAGTGTTATTTAATATGAGAGCTGTACACATTAGCCTGATTCAAGTATCATCGTTTCAAACATGTACCTTTAGTTTTTCTCATGCATCTAATCCAAATAAAGCTGCAGTTTAGGTTTGTTTCTTTCCACGCCAGCCCCATGTGCGTTTTGCCACCCCACGCCAAATCACATTTGTATGTGTTTATCAAGCACGTGTGCCTGGAGAGTATTTTCCACATCACTGCGATAGGTGTCTAGCCAGAAAGCTGGTCTTGATTATACTACTGCTATTACCCCTTTGTTGACTTTTGCATGGAGTAGCTAAATTGGGCTTCTGATAAATACTGTTTCACTCTTTTTCTTATGACATAATCTTAAATTAGAGCAGCTCTTGTTGGGTGCATGGTGGTATTGTTGCACATCCCAAAGGGCTAAGGAATGAGCTTATTCATCTCGATTGCATGTTTTTCATTTTATTTTCGAGTGGGGGAAACATTGTCTGTTGTTCAGCGCTAGCAGAAGCAGTGAAAATAAAAAAGAAGTCAATGTTTTTCTCTAGATGGCTGTAGGCTAAATGGCAATCCAATCCAAGGTTTGATGAATGCAGGGAGGTGGGGCTTAATCACAGGCATACAAGCCATCTGCACACGGGCAAGAAAAATTGGAATCTAGCCTCAGTTGTGTGTTAACACCCATGTCTTGTTGGGTTTTCTTGACAGTTGGGGCTGAGAAACCACCTCAACCTAAGTCAAATTAGTATGACTTTTCTTTCAAATAGAAGAGATGAACAGGCTTGGAGCAGGAGAAGCAATGGGAGACAATCATAAGTGCTAAAGTGAACCTGGAACGATCTGGTGTCATATAAAATATACACAGTTCCAGTACATCTTTGTGTCACAGCCATGATTGACAAGAGAGTTGGTTAGCGAGAAGACATGGCTGTAAACCTGGTGTTGGCGAGGGCAACTGGAGCTGAGGCCGGCTGCTCTGAAGACAAACGAGGTGTTTTATCTGAGAGGTAGGGAGGCTGAAGTGCGCCGGACTCTGCCCCTGAATACCATCTGTCAGAATCTCAGACAGCAGAGATGAGGCACCGTGTCCTGGTTTGACTGTTACAAGCTCATGGTTTTCTCAGCACAGAAAAACGCATTTCTGTAAATTCTTCTTATATCTGCAGCCAGTTCAAAATTTCACTCTTCAGGGATATTTGATGAAAGGAACACATCATCATTTTTGCACACAGCCATCTTTACTATTTGTAACTCGAGCCTGACTGATATAGATTTTTGGGGGCTAATGCAGATACCAATCTTACAGAACAACAGATTTCCAATACAATAGGGCAGGGCAATAAAACAATATCAATAGTTATCGCAATATAATTTTACTAAGCAACAATACATAGAAATTGAAATATTGTTTATGCATTGTGTAAGCACAAAAAGGAGGTATAGCACATACTTGATCCACCTCAGGTTTGTAATATATGTTCTGCTGCTTATGAAGTCTTTGTCAATTTCTGATCATAAAGAAGAGTTTAAAACCAAAAGCTTCACTAAGGAGCAAAAATCTGTATTGAAACTGTCAAATCTGTCAGATCAGATTAATGAGTGGCATGAAACCCTGATGTTCATTTGGATAATTGGACAGTGTAATTATATAGCTGTTAACACATGTTGGTCTGATTTATCAGGAATGGCAACATATTGCTTGTGCATATGCTTAATTTGATGTCCTTAATATCACAGCTTGGACAGCATTCAAGTTCAAATCCAGCAAAAAGGGTGTTACACCTGCTAAATGTTTCGAAATGGAGTCAAAAGGAGCAGTGTTTCTCCTCCAACCCCCGAAGCTACTGTGTTCACTTCTGCTGAACCACTCCATCAATGTGAAACACCTCTATAAAACTGTTGGCTGCTGTTTATTGTTGTTTTTTTCATGCCACTCAAGGGTTCACATGCATATGTTTGCACAAAGGCAGTAGGTCATTTCTGACAGCTGGTGTACATGCCCCCGGGTTACAATAAATAAAGAATCTGATTTGGATGAGGAATTATGAAGTTTATTAAACCATCTACAGGAGCTGAATGCTTTTGGCAAACAATAAAAATAACCTGCAAACAGTTAAAGTATGTCAAAGGACTCATATCGCAAATGTCAGTCTTTGAAGCAATATGCTCATGCCACAAGTATGTGCCACAGAGGCCGACAGCATCTGGTGTCAGTGATTAGTTCCTCTTCACTGGTTTGAGTGTTGCTAAATGCTGTTGTAGTTTTTAGTTGGAATAGCAACCTTTACTCTCTTTTCTTTTCCCTTCTTGTGGGAAAAATGAACAGCTGCCATGAACCCAGACACGGCCCCTAAGATTTATGTCTGTGATCGGGAGAGAAAAATTGTAGAATTGACATCTTACTTAGTCTTCGACAAACTATCAACTATAAAAGGCTAGAGCCAGCATTCTGTGGTGTTTTCATTACACTTGAGTCATTTATTAATTCACTTAGAAAGTAAGAAAATATGTTTTCTTGGTCATCTTAAAAATTGGTACATTTGTAATTTAGCACATTTGAGAAGCTGTCAGCAGGAAGTGTGGCCCACTTTGAGTCTTATTCTAGAAAGATGTCTAAATATACCAGTGTTGGGTTAGGCTTTTTCTCAAGCTTTATACAACCCCCCTCGTCTGCCCTCATCCACACACTGATCGTCTGTTTTCTCTGTGTACCCTACCCTCTGCAAATCTGTTCTTGGAGGGTTGATAAACATCTAATAATGACACAAGATGGTGCTATGTGTTTCGGAGAGCTTCCTCTCTGTAGTCATCAAAGCAGTAGAGAAGTGGCCTTTTTGTTTGCTCCCTCAGAGGCTTGTTTTCCAATACCCAGAGCAGATGGTATGTGTTTTCTATGGATGAATCACTGAGCCGGGTGCATATTGCGTAGCCAGCCCAGACTGTGTGATGCCTGTATGTGTGTCCTCCTGCCTTAGCTGAGAGAATACACCTGTGTCAGTAAACTATATTTATGAATAAAAGACTTTGATCTCACTTGTTTTGTGTTCTTTTTAATTTCCTCAGACTCTGGAGGAGCCCCCCTACTTGACAGTAGGGACGGACGTGAGTGCAAAGTACAGAGGGGCTTTCTGTGAGGCCAAGATTAAGACTGCCAAGAGGCTAGTCAAGGCTAAGGTAAGTCACAAGTGCTATGATCTAAAATTAAAAATGGATTGTCTGTCTGTGTTGTGTGTGAAGTGGAATGCAGCAGGGCGGGGGTCTGACCACTCAGCTTTATTGTTCATCCGCAGTGATATGATAAGAGATGGTCACAATTTAAAGCCACAGTCCAACACATTCCTTTAGAGATGTGACTGCTGTGAAGATCAGAGACGTTAATAGTAGACTTGGAGAGATTAGCATTTCGATTATTTCTGATGTTGCCAAAGATCCATCTGGGCTGCTCATATGCTGGATCACTACCACCTGGTTTAGGTTGTTAGTACCGCTCATACAGATGAATCGCTGATCAAGCAGCCCAGCTGTGACAGATGCAGGTTCTGGGCAGCCCCACCAGGTACCTATCACATCCTCAGGCGTCCCTTTCGCCCACAGCTTCCACGTCCCCCATTGGTTTTATGCATTACTGATGAGAGCATTACACAGTGCACGTAGTACAGTATCTCATTTCCCAGTGGGGCTGGAGCATCTGGGTAATACAATAGAGACAGATCGCTTGTCTCTCGTTCTGCTGGAGTGTGTGGGAGGAACAAAGAGTGGATGCTGGCTTTTTCACTGTGTCAGTGCACTACAGTTCCCCTGTAGAGACAAAAGAGCAGCAGCATTCTGACATTCTGGTATACCAGCTGAAATCATCAAATGAGGTGCCGTCTTGTCTCATGGACAAACGATCTGATGTTCTTAATTTTAATATGATGGACTTAAATGAAGATAATAGGACAGTCTCGGCTCATAAATTAATTACCATACTAATTGGCTGAGCGTGGGCTTTGTTTTTGAGTAGCTGTAATTTGAATGTGAGCTTCGTTACACAAACATTGAAATATGACATTAATGAATTCCTCTTTGGCTCTTTGGTTCATTAATCTCTGCTTGTTAAACAAAGTCCATGGTTGCAGCGTGAGTGTCACTCTAGTCTTTTGAGCAACTTTTAAGGCTCAGTAAAAAGATCTTGTGTTGTATATGATGATTTACACTAGAGAACCTGTAAAATGTGAATTAGTACCATGTCGTTATCACTTATTTGTTCATCATGAATATGATCTTTTATGACTATCTTACAAGCAGAGAGCCTGTGCTGCATGTTTATAGAGCATTTTTAGTGGGGGGTTTTACAGATTTCACCGCAGAATGCAAATGCAAAGAATCTCTGTGAAAATGAAGTACAATTTTCAGAAACATTCAAAAGCAATTTAAGAAAATTTAGTGTTAATGTTTATTGGTGGCCTCAGATTTATTGTTGTGGTAATGTTAGTACTGTGATCATTTTCCAAATTTTATTATTTTCCATTTTCCTTTCATCAACAAGCTTTCTGGCCCTGGTGTTGTATTCAAAATGTTTCCAGACGCTATTTCTCAGAAGGTTTAGTGTCATTATGATCGGCTGAGCTTGCTAGTTTGTTTCAGATGTAAGTATTTGCGAGTTTAACATGCTAGTTTCATCCATTTATCGTAATTTAATATTGTCAATTCGGTCAGATCACTACGTATAATCAGTTTGTTCTCTCCATGTTCAAACAATGGTTTAAAATGTTGAGCGTTATCCTCACTCCTGTTGGCTCTGTTGGAAAATGTAGTGTAGTTGTTTAAATTGTCAACAACACATGTAACCTCAGGAGAAGGAATGCTTCACTATCTGAGGGGACAGGAGCAGAGAGAGGCTGTGAGAGAGGAAAATGAGTGTAACAAGTGGAGTTGCTGTTTATTTTTGTCTGAGCTGTCACAATACTGTTTGCTGTTAGCCGGAGTTCATGCCCTTCTGCTGCTTATGGGCTTAAAGGCAAAGAAAACCCCTGCGGTAAATCATGTTTGAATAAATCAAGATCAAAGTGCACTGTTCATGGCTGTATTGTAGAGCCTGACCAATATTGAACTTTTTGGGCTCATGTTGATTTTAGAGATTAAAAATGATAAATATCTATGTATCGGCTCATGTTCTTATTCTACATGGGTCATTGGTGCTTCAGCTGACCAAGTTTTCATGTTGGAATATATCGGTCAACATCATAGACTGTAAATAAAGATGGATGTCATGACAGCTCCCCTTAACTGAAGTGTATCAATTGCCACCCAGTGGCTGGCTGCAGTACAAGTCTGCCACCTCTATTTTAGTGAATGGGACATGGACCAAACTAAAACATTTGTGCAAAAGATGGTTTCTTCTTTCATATCTATTGATGTTTGTTCAAGTGTTTCCAGTCTGTTTGGTTTTGATTAGTTGATAATATAAAACCAGGTTGAATCGTAATGATTGGCAGCTAACTGATACTGACTCATGATTGGTTGATCACATGTATCAGTGGGACCTCAATACTGGGGCTCCCTCCTCTGATCACTTCTGCACAGTGTCTGGCTCCAAATGCTCAAGATGACAGTGTTTGTATCCAGGATATTCATTGATAGGAGGGAGTGGAGACGTGTTGTCCATCTGTCCATATATCCAGTATAGTCAACTTATATTGATACTAATGCATCTGTGACAGGCCAGCATGGGCCCATAAAACTGGTGAACTGATATATATTGATTTTGCTTAACAGGAACTTAACAGTCTTGCACTTTGTTATTTTTAAATTTAGTGTTTAACATCCTGCAGATTATATTCTGTTCTAATAAACTGAGCTCCTGTTAAACATGTTCATATTACACACACATCTGTTGGCCCAAAGCTCTATTTCATCACATCTTATTATTTTATTACCTTATTTCAGTATGTGTTGTTCAGTGAAAGTGGTTCTACAGTTTGGCACAGACTGGCACAGACTTCTGTAAGAACCAAGCTCCCAGTAAGGAGGCTGTCAGAGGCTGTTAGGTGTTACGGACGCTATCTGGCTGGATCTTCAGGCAGCTTCAGTCACCCTCCCTCTGTCTGTGGAGAGCTGAGCCTCCTGTGCAGGTCCCTGTAAAGAACGACATTCCTTTATTCCACCGAGCAGGAATGTCATTATCTCCATGACTGATGATTTGCTGCCTCAGGATGCTTTTTATTCTCCTCTCCTCCCTTTTTTTTATGACCAGACAGTATATATTTCTCTCATTCATTGTCTTGATACTGTCTTCATAGCCACACTTTGATTGCTGTTTCTGCTGTTGCTATATTTGAAACTGAATCGACAAAACATTCGCTGAATTCGTTACCTGCATGCTTGTTTTTTTGAGATGGGATGTTAAACATCTTTTTTCTGCCCTTGTGTGGCGGCTGATTCTAAACTAAATCACAGTCAATCAAAGTGAAGCTAGTTCTTCATTATAATTATAATTATGTTACCATTTTACTAACACATGCTCTAAAAATGACTTTAATTTCCCTTAGGAAACAGAAAAAGAAGCACATGAGCTTTTTGACATATAAAGTAGGGAGAGGCTTTTTCAATTCCAAACTGATATGTTTTTCACATGCGCCTTTGAAAATCTGCAGTAAATGGCTTTGTGTGTGTATATTGGCCTTATGGTCTTTTTTGTCACTCAGTGTTGCCATGTCACCATGCAAATGCAAAAGTACCACAGCGTGATCAGGTTATGATCTACCATGGCTCACTTAGGGGAGGCTGCAGATGCATCGAAGGGGTTGGGACCCCCCCGCCCCTTTGCATAGCCGTTAACGTTCACTTCAGAAATCCTTCACAGTTGGCGCCAGCAGTCGAGGCACAGTTGTCAAATGTCGGGCCCTCACTCAACAACACCACAAATGAGCTGTAGTATTTAATATCCTCACACATGCTGCTGCCTGATGACACTAACAACTATCTGCCAGTGTGTTTATCTCAGGCTTGTAACCTCTAACAAACCCATCCAGCTGAAAGAGCCCATCTCTCTAATCAGTGTGTCAGCAGTTATAAAGTCCAGCAGGGAATGTACTTCCTCTGTGAAGTGGAGGATTGATGTTGCCCGGTCAGGCTTGAGGGGGGATTGTTTGTTTATTCTTGTTAGTCATTCTCCTCCTCTGTTGCCTCCCCCTTCCACAGGTGACCTTTAAACCAGATCTGTCCACAGCTGAGGTTCATGATGAAAATATCAAAGGACCTCTGAAGGTAAGGCCAGAAAGATCGAGGAGATTGATGCCTTGTTACAGTCAGAGTATCATTTTTTACCACTTCCTTTGGTTTTTGTATCAGTTGGCATCCATTGTCAGCTCATTAATTGAAAAAAACCAAATTAGAAAATAGTAATAATTAGCATCTTGATGGGTCAAATAACAGCAGTGAATCTGTTCAACAGGTGGGTGCTGTTGTAGAGGTGAAGAATCAGGATGGAGTTTACCAGGAGGCCACAATCAACAAGCTGACTGATGCTAGTATATATACTGTCGGTAAGTTGACAACAAACCACCTTCTTTACCTCCTGTCAGGAAGAATCAAGCTCTCCTCACAGCGAGCTTCAAAAAACGTACATGTGTACAAATTCAATTCAACACAATTCACGCTTTGTGTGTCAAACTTGTTATTGCACTAAGTTTTTGGAAGAACCATCTGCCATTTTTTTGTGTGTTAGATGGTGTTGACTAAATCCATTTTCATGGTCTAAGGATGGTGTTGTGTATTGTGCAGATTGTAAAGCACCTTGTTTTGTGAGATGGGGCTATATCAATAAAATTGAAATTGACTTGACAGCAGTAAAGCTGCTATGCTGTATCTGCTCAGTCATATCTCCAAACCATTAAATCCCAGACAGTTACTGGTGTTTGTTTTGTTAATTCAAATGTACAGTTAAACTTCACATAAATTATGTTACCATATTACAATATATTTCAAAATATTACAATCCAAGGCAAGGAGAAATACTGGTCAAGACAAACCCATATAACAATGTAATAATAAAACAAATGATGAAGTGTATTAATATTGGTGAATAACTTAAATTTATAATTATTTTAAAATAATTAACTCTAGTCCTAAATAACTAGAGTTGGATATCCAGAAGTAGAACTAATAGTTAACATCTTAAATCATAATTGATGGATATATCATTGGTCTAAATAAAATAGTTAAATGAAGATCACAGGTTAACTTCCTTGAATTTATTTTTGGGCCCAACTTTCCAACATTTAGATGTTTGGTTTGCAATAGAGGTTCAGTGTGTAAGATTTAGTTGAAAGGGATTTATTGGCAGACATTTAACATAAAATAATCAGAGTGATGTTTTCACTAGTGTGTTTCATATAAACTGTATGAATTTTTGTTTTCCTTACCCTAGAATGGGCTCTTTATATTTAAATACTTTATATTTACATCGGGAGTGGGCTCTCTCTACGGAGGCCGCCATGTTTTTACATTAGCCCAGACTGGAAAAACTGAAACAACTTTTGAGTTTTTATCACAACTGAAGGCTGACATAGGTTCTCCTTCATGTTTTGAAGGGGAGGGTGAGGTGCATTCGGCTGCAACTTAACCAATAGATGTCACTAAATTCTACACACTGAACCTTTAAGTGAAAGAGAAATACAGCAAATTCAAAATTAATATTTGAGAAGCTAGAAGCAACCAGAAATTTGAATTTAAACTTTAAAATTGAGTGTGAAAACTGTTGTGCTAGTCTGTCAAGCGCACACTGTTCAAATGTTAGATAATTCAAACCACACAGCGTAAAGGCTGCTGCTCAGATCTGCAGTTTCTCAGCAGCTGTTCGTCTCTTAAGAAAGCCCATGGGGTTTTTCCTGTCTTGAAAACACTTGTCTTTTCATTCATCACTGAGAAAACAAAAAACACTAGTCACTGCTTAAGTTACCATAAGTGACTTTTCCCTCGTTGTCACCAAATACATTTGATGAATGGGATTTAAGGATTTGCACATCTGGGTTTGTCTTTGAAAGTGAAAGTCTTTTTGTTCTTCAATATGATGTATATATTTGTGTACTGTAATCTTATGTGGCTGCACTTTGTAGACATATATGAACATTTAATATCAGTCAATGCATTAGACAGTTCCCCCACATCTCTTATTTTACCATTTACTCCACTCGCTGCTGCACAGAGTGTCCTTGAAGATCTCAAAGAGTCGTGAGCTGGAAGCAACTCTGTCACTGCGTGTTGGATTTATCCACAAACATAATTTGTTTTCAGCGTATCGTAAAACAAGCAGACATTTTGTAACTCTGTGTGTGTGAATTGGTGGACTCCTGGCCTACATTCAGCAGCCTAATATTTTTCACTCTCATCTCTGCAGTCTTTGACGATGGCGATGAGAAGACCCTGAGGCGTTCCTCTCTTTGCCTGAAAGGAGCGCGTCACTTTGCAGAGAGCGAGGCAAGTATTGCGCTGTCCTGCAGCTTTCTGGGGACTCAGTCTGTTTCATAGCTTTTGTTCAGTCAAAACAGTCTCACGTCTCTATTCACAGTGCTCAAATTAAAAAGCCGCCCATGAATAGTTCCATATTGGCCTCTAGAAGTTCAGCTGTGAAATATTTTCAGGATATGTAAACTCACACATCACATCAGAGGAAAGAGCTCTGTTTGTAACTGTTGACATTTCTTCAAGGTATACAGGTTCAAACTTCCGTCTTCAGATTTAGTGTGTGACAAGATGCTACTGAAGCTCATTGCTGTTCTCTCCCGTGCAGACACTTGACAGACTCCCTCTCACCAACCCCGAGCACTTCGGCACACCTGTCATCGGCAAGAAGGGCAACCGCGGGCGACGATCGAACCCTATGTGAGTGTTGGCCTCTGCCTCTGTACATCCCGCAGGGCTGGTATCATACTTGATGTCTGTTATGCTGGTGGGGAGGGATTTTTCTCTGCCTACCCACAGCCATCAGTAATTGGCTCACCCATTTTTAAGCGTGCTGCTGACAGCAGTTGAACTGAAAGATTTACTCTCATCTCAATCCCCCCATAAACAGCCCCTGAGGCCTGGGAGAGGACGGTCTACTCGCCTCCTTGAGTTCCTTAATCACGCCTGGCTCCTGTGTGTGCATGTGTCTGTTTGTCCTGCTGAATATTATCTTTTTCTTTCTCTCCTTTGACTCGAATGTTCCAGTGGGTGTTTTATGCGCTGATGTGCCTACTCCTGGTAGACTGCAGAGTTTTCATCAGGGAATAGGAACTGCTGAGGGAATTCTGGCGCTGGATATAACGCTGTTATAAAGAGGACACTCTGCTACATAATCTCATTCTCTGACACCCATTGCTAATGGCACTCAGAGAAAAGTCAATATTACTCTAAACATTGATGCAATATTGACTTGGAGCAGTCCCAGCTGCACATTAGCACCTTGGAACAGTTGTCTTCCTTTGCACTAAAAGTCTTAACTGTTTAATAACTAGGGCTGACAATGCAGCACATATTGAGATTAAAACTACTATAGTTGTTGTTTTAAAGGAAGAGTTCAACATTTTTGAGGAAGGTGCTAATTTGCTTTCTTGCTGAGAGTGCTCTTGTGTGTACCATAAAGAATGGAAACAGGAGAAAATGTGCTTCTGACACATTATGTCTTGTTGGTTTAACCATGAGGTTGCCAGGCAACCAGCAGAGATACCAAGAAGTCATTGGTACTGGTCAGTGACAGAAAATAAAGATGGACGACGGCAGCTGGCTTCAGCATTAGTCATAAACCACACTTCCTCCATGTTAATAGATTGGACATGGCCCCAAAAAAATGTTATCACCAAAGAAATTTTTCTCAAAGAAGATTTCTTTCATTTTACTGTAATTACAGCTGTTATTGTGATGACATATGCTCAGCTGTTCAACTTGTTTAGAAATTTAGTTTAAAGGTCACTTTGACATAACAAAGCTGGTTTGGGGCCATAACAAACATTTTTCAGACAAATAATCAACTGAATATGATTATGACGTGGCGAAGGTCAACCTCACTGTGACATTGAATTGTTCTCCAAAAACACCATTATGGCGATTATTTGACACCCTAACCTGAGTCATGCAAAAAGTAGGCAACAGGGACTGATGAGTAAGCAAGTAAAAATAAATGTGGGCCTACTTCACTACAAATGTTCATCACTACAACACACGCTAAATTGATTGACTATATTTGGTCATCTGTAATTGACACTTGCTGTCCGCTGTCACAACAGCTCAATGAAATATATAATGATGCCATTTTTAGCAACCGGAAACTGTGTCATGCATGACACAGTTTCTAGCATGTAGCTATCAACTGTCAGAGTGTTTAAATATGTAGTGGCACATTGCTGGTATCTTATCAGTGTTATCACTGGTAACATTTCTCCATGGTGGCATGCCATGACAAAAAGGAAATAAATCTATCCAATTGATCATCACTCTAGCACCTCAATGATTTGTCCAGGCACGTATTTAGTTTGGTGGGAGCGACGGCACATCTTTCTCGTTGCTCTTAGGTCCAAGCTGAGTTAACTTTCCCTGCTCTTCTCCTTTTCACTGACTGCCTTTCATTAAGTATTTTACTGCAACATGAGCCTATCTACACACTATAGTTGACTGAAGTAACGTGGCATACACTTTTCTGTGACTCTTAACATAGGAAGTCTGGATTGGACCTTGATTGGCCCATGGTTCAAGCCTTAGTGGTACCGTACTTCAAATAGCAAGTTTCAAATACAAATTAAATGAAAAATGAATAAATTACAATCAAATATTTTTCAAAAATCTATTGATCATTTAATTATTTTCTCAAACTCCACACAGTCACATCCTTTTGATCTGGCTTATGCTTTTAAATGGCAGGTTGAAATATATTTGGGACATTATTTTATTTTTGTAGGTTCAATTAAATTTTATTTGTGTGCCAAATCTATTTACATTATCTCAAGGCACTTTTCCTAGAAAGTTAGAGAAGTTCATTTTGGAACCTGACTGTAAATCAGGGACAAAAGGAGTATTTCCTGTCACTTTGACACAGGTATGATTCTAGTTTACTGTGAGTGTGTCCGTGTGTGTGCTGTTGTCAGAACAAGCCTAGTGAGACATAAAAAGAGGATGGAGGCTTGTTGCCTGCTGGTGGTGCTTGCATTTTCATTGGCTGCCTGTCTACGGGCCACAGTCAGCGCTCTGCCTGAGCATCAGGATGACGGTTAAGACAGCTGAGAATGAACCGCCTCGTCAATACACTGATCCTAATGAGTGAGCTCATCAGTGACCTTATGTTCCTCTGTGATACATAATAATTTGTCTACAAAGTTCACTGGTGGTTTTATTGTGCCTTGGGTTGTTAATTGGAGACTTTATTATGCTTTCTGGCTGAGCAGCTGTTAAATGAAAAGATGTTTTGTCTGCAAAAATCTTCTCTCTGTCTATACTGAGAAAGAACTGTATTCAAATTGTATTTACCTCATCTGTTTATATATATATTGTGGATTTAATATGAAATGCCAATATATTTACAGCTCTATGAACAACCAGGATGATCTTCTTTCTTTAAACAACACTGCGAATAAGTTTACAGCACTTTTCTCAATCAAATGATACCAACCAGCTTATAACTAATTCCAAATAGAGGCTGATACAGCTTGTATGAATTGAGTCAACCAACCTTTCACTGTTTTTATAACGTTCTATAATGTCCATAGTGATGTCATCATTGACCCACAGAGCAAAAGCTAAAATAAAATCTTCCCAGAAAATCCTCACAAATGAGAAACTGGAACTGAAGAATATAGTTCGTTGCTCTAAGCTGTGAATAAAGTGAGCTGAATTCTCCAGATGTGAAGAATTTAAGTGTATATTTATGAACATCTACATCCAATAAACTATACTTTTCTCCAACAGTCAAGAAGAAGAGTTGTCTTCATCTTCCAGTGAAGAGGAGGAGAGTGATCAGCGGCAGAATGAGGATATGTTTGGCAAAGTGGTCTGTGTGGAAGGAGTCACCACCGGGGACAAGAAGAAGAGCACGTGGTACCCTGCTCTAGTGAGTCTCCTTTCTGTCTCTGTGAAAAGGGGCTACCACTGCTGGTCCTCACATACACTAACAGCATTGATACCCGTTTGTATAACCACAGCACCATTCAAGTTTATGGTATTAAAATGCTGGAAATTTGATTGTTTATACAGTTAAATAGCAGATTTCTATAAAGACAAACTGCGTGACTGAACTTGAAGAGTTTCAGAGTCAAAACAGCTTGACTAGTATTATTTGGAGGAAAAAGACATGACTCGTTTTCTCTCTGGTAACAGTGCAATACAGACATTGTTTTGATGCATTCAGTCTTTTCCCATCCATGTCCCTCCACCCAGCCTTGACCCTCAGCAACTGCTTGGGCATAATGAAATAGTGACAGGCGTTGTTTGTTTACGTAAGTGTTACAAGTATAACTGGGCGAATGGGAGAGGGTGGGGAAAGCTGTGCCTTTAACAGTGTAGTCATCACAGCCCCGCCTCCAGCATTTGTTGTTCTTGGCTGGCCATTGACCGAGCACCATGCTGCCTCCTTGTGACAGCCCAGAGAAGTACAGTACACAGTTGCCTCTCATTGTTTATACTGTGATCTTATAGCAGAGGAGTGCACTGGTAGATCTCTCATCTGTGACAAACTGTGAGCTCTGAACAGGACAAGTTAAATAAAAGACAACAGAGACCGTGTCTGTATGAGCAAGGTGTGTGATATGTGTGTGTGGTGTTTATGTTCATCTGATCTATTAACATTCTCTTGTTTGTGTTCAACAAGGTCATCTCCCCGGACTGCCATGAAGATGTGACTATGAAGAAGGACAACATCTTCGTCCGCTCATTCAAGGATGGAAAATTGTGAGTCATTACTAATCTACAAAAACGCACACTTTAACGATGTGTGACGCACAACTACACTAATGATTATCAGTATATTATTGACATTTTTATTATTAATTAACACAAATGGTGTTTATGTCCAGATAATCATCTTGAAAGTATAAAGTGAAACAGAATTTAGCATAGCACCAAGTTGATTTGTGATTGTTACTTAAATAATTGAGGAAAATCAGCTTCTCAACTTCTTTTGAGAAGCTTTGGCAATAACATGATTTGCATGTTCATTTTATGAATGCTTTTATGAACTTAGTAGCTCCAGATTAGTTTTTTTCTATTTCTACTCATCAAGTAATCATTAAGTCCCAGTTTAAAACATCCCCATCAGGAGTCTGAATGAATGGCTTTTAATGAGATTTATGTGCAGTGAATATTTGCAAGAAGAAGCACGAGAAAATTCTTGTTAGAAGATAGCTACAGTAGTACACGTAAATACAAAATGTAATATGTCATAAGTTTGGTACTTATCTTCTTCTTTGCTTTTCTTTTTAAAAAGTTATACTTCTACTGTCAAGTGGTGTGATCATGATGAATCTCACTAGTATGACTTTTGTGTCTCTTGGAATCAAAATATTCATGATAAATAGTTCAAAACTTTAGAGGAATATAAGAGTTTGTGATCTCTAAACAGGAGTTGGGATACTGCGTGCTCTCCCTGGCACTGCTGGGTTTTGTTATTTTATTTGTCCTCAGGCTGTAAGTTACTGGTGAGGTAAGGCAGTGTAGGTTCCCCCCGGGCTGCCCATAGCCTGGAACCACACAGCCAGATTGTTTTGTCTGTGGTAAAGAGAGGAATAAGTCCTGTCAGGAGTCTCAGCTGATGGTTTCTTACTGCAGCCTTTCTGTATGTGGGTAGAGATGTGCTGTAGCCCACTCAGAAATGAATCTGGTGTTTCCCCGCTGCTCCAGAGACTTTCCTTATTGTCTGTTTTAATTCCACTGAAGACAGAACAGCCTTGAGTCTGCATACCTTCATAAATATTCTGCATAATTCACCGACATGACCCTTTATCTGCACCTGAAGACGACATACTCGCAGCACAGGATGTCTTATCGCTTGTATTTTGGCTAATGGTCAGGTGAAGGGTAGAGTTGATGAGAGGGATAAGATAAGAGTGATAAATCACAGAAGAACTGGAAGTCATACACTTGTGAAGTATTTCCTCTCTGAGTGAGCACGGTGCCCTGTGGTGGTGTTTGCTGCAAATTAATTCACACAGGAGGAGTCTATCCTTCTGTTTTGTTGCAGTTTGAGTTCACTCATTGAAAACCGCATATGCAAGGGCGGGTGCAAGACATAATAATGTACGGTGTCGGAAAATCTATATCATTATTAATGAGTTTCTTAGGTCTGTGTTTCCCCCAGTCCTTCTGCCTTTATGTGGATGGAATAATAAGGATGGAAATATATTATTACTGTTGCTCGTGTGTGATGTGATGTCAGTCTGATGCATCTGTAAGGTCTCTTTATGTTTTTTTACAGTATGAGTTATAGCCGGTGTTGCTGATTATATTATATGACATAAACCAACGAAGCTTTTTAACACAATTCACCACATCTACTCATTTCCGAGATATTGCAGCATGATGACAATCATTCACGTTAGGGATGTACTTTAAAAAAAAAAGTTTAACTGATAAACAACAATTAACAGACAAGATATCTTATATAGGCAATAGACGAGTGTCTGAAGAAGACTTCTTTTTTTTATTAAGGGGTTAATTTTTACATTCGCAAACAGCAGCATAAAAAGACGAACCTGCAGTGCTGCTGTTGTGCTTTTAGACATGCACTGAACTCCGGATAATCTCCTGACATTCTCTGGAGAGGCGGTATGTGCGAACGCAGGTGTCCGAGTGAGAGGCTCCGGACTTTCTCCAGAGTTTCTCTGGCCAGCCTCTTAGTAAATACCTGGTAGAATTTCCCACTGAGGCCATGTGAGAAAACAGCAGATGATGTTTGTTAGAAACAAATGTCATCAACAAAACTGAAAAAACTAAAAGATTACAAATATTTCAAGAGGAAAAAGCTGTGCCATAGATGTAGAAGACACTGACTAAGAGGGCAAGAGAGCTTTTGGTGATAAAGTGCGCCGGCAGTGTTGATGTGCTGTAAACAAAAACATGATATCTGCATCCATTAATGTGTTACATTCTGCCTCTGCCTGCTGTGCCACCCCTCACCTGAACACTCTGGAGATTCTGTCACAGAATATCCTGCTGCGTTGTTCATGTTTGAAAGGCAAACTCCAGAGAAAATCCTGACCAAATCTGCTGGAGTTCATGCTTGAAACAGCTTTACTCACACACACACAGAGATCTGTGTGTCACAATCAGGAGAAATCTAGTCACTTCAGTGGCTCAGTGGCCCATCAAAGCGGCATCACTTTTGTTTTCGATGTGCTCCTGTGGCGCCGGCAGGCATGCAGTCATTCCGATGCGCATTGGAGTAAACTGCATCTGGATCAGTGGGCAATCCCAATAATCAATCCTGATTAACAGGCCAGGTCTACCCAGTCCTCAGCAACAGCTTTCCTTTTAACTTTGAGATCCACAGTGCAGAATACCTGTGAAGATGGTACCGATGTCAGTATTTAATGGTTAATAGTTCACATTCATCAACATCAAGGTCAGACTGTCTATACCCTCCTTTCAACAATGTCAGTTTATACCAGGCTGCCTCATTTCCTGGAGCCCTTTTTACTCGCAATGTTTTCAAGTGTTTTCCATTCTTCAGCACAAACACACTCACCCCACCTGACATTATTTATTATTGTACTTTTTATCAGTCATGTCAGCTTCCTCTTGTCCCATTATTACAGAGTTATTCCAACCTGCTGCTCCCTGTGTGTTTTTTTTGTTTGTTTTGAACAGGGGGTCACATCCATAGACCATGTGACCTCTCCACGCACAGCGCCTGCTTCAGTGTGTTCACTTGTCTCTGGAGAGTGTGGTATTGTTAGTGGTCACCGTTCAGTGCCGCTTTTCAAAAACAATGGCTTTGGAAAATGTTTTTTCAAGGAAAGCAAGGTCACATCCAGAAGGGAGACCGGAGCGCTCAGGAAGTGGGTATTCTTATTTAGTCAGATCTGGTTACCATAGCAACAATGGAAACAGTTGCTATTTTTTTCTCTTCTTTTGGCTGCCTTGCAAACTTGTCTGTGCTATAGTACGTAGTTTGCAGAAAAAACAGTTTTATCATTGCACAAATGTTTTTAATTGAGCCTTTCAGAATTAGATAAACACAGCTAGGCTGCAAACTACATGTTCATGTTGTCTCAAGGAGTTGAAGCAATTTATCGTTTTATTAAATGGTGGAATGACAGAGAATAATAAATAGCAGTAAAACTCTGAGCTATGTTAGTGGCCTGGCTTTAGGGATGACAAGGGATGTGGAGATGAACTGCTGTGACATTTTGTGCAGATGTTCATGGTCTCCAGAGGCTAAATCTTGCTGATTTCGGTGATATTTCATCTTTCTGAGCTTGACATTTTATCCCAACAGCTATTTTTTATTTATTTATTACCAAATGACTAACACATGACATTCCAATCAGTGTATACTGCTAATTAGCAGATGTTATTAAGCATTTGATAGCATTTAGCTCAAAATGCTTGTGTACTGAACACACTCACAGAGCTGCATGCGTGGCGGAACACCTTTTTAATCTTATTTATCCTTTTAATTGTAAGCAGTTAAATAAAAACATTTCTTTGCACCATTTGTATACATGCAAGTGCATTTGGGAACCTGTGCCACTGTAATAACAGCTGTGACTCAGTAGTTTGAATGGGTCGTCCGCTAACCAGAGGGTTGATGGTTCAATCCCCGGTTAAGATACAGCTCTGTCAACAGATACCACAGCAAATCATCTCCCTGGCACCGCAGCCGAGCCTCTAACTGATTTCAGTTTACAAGCTCCACTGATACATCTATCTGCCAAATCACTGACACTTTGCCCAGCTGCTGTAGAGTTGCTGTAAGAAAATAGGCTGATTGAATCTGGTCTGGTCATGTTGACTCAACTTCTGAGGTTGTTGTTGGTGCTGGGCTCTAAGGTTGGAAACAATTTTCTCTCTGCCAATAAGAGTTTAGGTTGTTTACTCTGTTGCTGCTTTACATCTTATTCTTTTAGTCCAACTTTTCTTTTAGGAAAGATGAAAAATGGGCGGGGGTCTACTTTTACCTACAGTCTAGTATCATTCAGTGCTGTTCACACTATCATTTCTGTGCCAATTTTAATCAGAGTCTCTGTTTGTTTTTGCAGTTCCATGGTGCTGAGGAAGGACGTCCGTGAGATCAGTAGTGACTGTCCTCCAAAAGCTGACGCAGGGCTCAAACCAGGTGAGTTTAAAGGAAAACTTTGAGACTTTTATCTCACAGAAGCAGTGCAAAGTGTGCACCGTGTCCCAGACATCTGTGAGCTGGCCTGTGTGTTGACACACTTGGCAAAAAAATACTCCGAGTAGGCTGCTGCGTGGCAGACCGAAGAAAGAGAAGTTTTGTTTTTGTTCTGGGGAATGCAGCAGTGAAGAGCGCCTGTCACTGTGGAGTCTATTTTTATTTGAAGTCATCACCAGGCTTTTTATATAGTGCCCCTGTTTCCTTTCTGTTGCAGAGCTCTGACATTCTCATAATAAGGGTTATAAAGCAGCTCTGTATTATCTTAGTCTTTACAGGTGGTTGACTCAAAACTGCTATATTTCCTGCTTTGCAAAACCGTGAAATCAGCATCTGCAAAGGTGGTTAGATTCTGCATAAGCACCACCTGTGACATTGTAGCTGTACGTTTCTGCTGCTCCGTGTCACTGCAAATGCTCCTGACAGCTTTTCATATTGCTATGTTCCATGGCTGATTTCTACTCATATTTATGTCAGTGTCTTTTATATCGTCTCACTTTTGTATATTATTTCCAGAAGTAAAATTGTAGTTGTAAGTGTTGTTAATCACCACTGGTTCTCAGTTTGAATATTTTGCTAGAGAATTCACTGGTTTCATTCAATTTAATTTATGACACAGCACACAAACGCACACAAACGCACACAAACGCACACAAACGCACACACACACACACACACACACACACAGGGGCAGAT